TTTTTATTTCATCCATTGTAGACTTGATCATGATGATGATGTCACACACGATATGGAACTAAACTATGAGATAGCAGGAACGCTTTTATAGAATAACTGAGGGGAAAATGTGAAGTTTCTCATTAAACAAGAGACGTTGCTTCTAGCTGGTAGGTAACTCGTTTAACATTCAGGTGTGCTTGCAGCTTGCAACTGGCTTATCCTTTGTTTAATATCCTGTAAATGGAATTGTCTATTTTGAAAAGTACGGTCACCAATAACATCAACAGTTTCTTGATTGGTGTTTTTGCAGTGGGGCGCGTGCAGTCGACCCGATTCGGGAATCAGAATTGGATTATTTCTCCTACAATAAGGTAGTTCGTATACACTGCTTTCGATTTCAAGTATTCTTATACGAACTCTTTTGGGTTTCTTCTTTGTGTATAAATTCTTAAATTCTTGGTTTAGCCACGGTTTTTGTGATTCTAGCTCAAGGTTAAATATTTTAAGGCACTCAGTTAGTCCAAACTTTGGCAAACTTTTGCTAAATTTGTTAGGTGTTTGCGTAATCTTATCAAATGAACGAACTTCAGACTTAGTACACGCGTAAAAATGTTTTGGTATTCGTAAGTCTAAAGAAAAATAAATGTTCTCGATTTCATGATCAGGGTTTACTGCTTTAGATTTTACATATTTTGGTTCAGAGTATTGTAAAAGCGTTACCATGCTACGATCACGCGCGCAAACGAAATATGAGTGTGTATGTAACTTATGTAAATAGTAATAAATATGAATATTAATCAATCAATTTTGTTTATATAGGGTCTGTATAGCGTAATTGTAGAACGTCACTCTACTGTGTTGCGCCGCGCATTCTGCACATGTATCTAACTGGAACTTGAAGCATAGCTATATACGAGCGCCAAACATTTAAGGATAGACAACATCTGTCAGATAGCGTAACTGTGCGCGCGCGCGCGCGCGGACACTTGTAATTTTTATTCACTGATGAGTTGACGAGTTATTCTCAATCATAAGCAATACGTTATCAAATCACTGGTATAACAGCTGGTAACAGTGTAGTAATTAACAGCAATGTATGGTTCACACCTTGTTCACGTGATCTGACACAACACTTAAAGTATGATTATAAGTATAGCAACATTTTTCTTTTTACAGTGGTCCTGATGGGTCTTCAGGTTAGTAAGTCAATGGTAACTTTCCCAAGCGGGAACATACGGGTTCGAATCCCGTCTGACCTCTTCCCCATTGGGACCACTTTTTTAAGTTTATACTGACTCGTAAATTAATTTCATTTTCAATTTATCTTGCGTGTGTGTTGCCCAAAGTTGAATGTGCAATGATCGATACGGAAATTAAAATTTGTTTGTTTACATTTGATATAAAATTATTGTACTTCGTGATTTTTGTATGCATGGGACGACGTTTGCGATTCAGTTTTGTCGAATTTGAGAGGAACAAATAAAACAATCGTATCACTGAGAAATAAAGCTACATATGTATATTTAACTTCAATTCAATAAAATAAAACTCAATGTTACCACCTAAATTTGGGTTGGTTACATTAATTGTCAACTTCACATATATCGAGTAAATCGAATAAATTTCCACCCTTCCAACCCACGACTTTGTAGAGTTTCCCAACTTCCAAATGAGGTATCTTTGAGTAGAGGAACAACTTGTTAGGAAACACAACAGTGATGAACGAGGAGTCCCATTCTGGGTATGATAGTTTTAACTTGTAACCCACTGAATACCGATATTGTTTTTCAGTGCACGCGATCAAGGTCATCACATCATTTGTTCGCTCTCTCCGTTCATCGTTAGGAGTTATGCTGCAGCCGCCGCACTCCATTCTCTGGCTCTCGATTTCTTCCAAACCACTATAACAAACGGGACAGTATTCCAAGCATGTTTTGGTTAGACTTGTAAGCTGCGGGAAGTCACCATTGTAATAATATTTTACCTCCACTTGATCCTCTAACTGGAACTGTTTTTTCTCTGCAGAATTAAATAAAAGATCCTTACTCCAAACGTTAAATTGGAGATATTTAGTCCAGAAAGGTAAGTTTACGCTGATGACCAATTTAGTATAGCCTTTTCCATTCAACCCAAGCTTCTTTATGGTACCAAGATTCTTGATCAAACTCATTTTACAGAGAAAACGAAAAATAGAACACACAAACGCAAAATACCTGAAGGAGAAATGAAGATGTCGCACTATTGTCTATTATATACACAGCACATCTGCTGCACACAATAAACTCGCTATATTTTATTTAACAAGTCTAAATGTTTAGATCTGTAAAGTGAGGGAGTGGCCTCACTTTCCAGTTTTGTGTACAGTATATGTAAATTTGTAATTGGAAGCTGTAGTTTCATTCTATTTTTGTCTTTGTGTAAAACTGATGTTTACATCCTTTGATATTTTACGCTGATTGGTCTTAACCTTGATCACGTGACTCGATAGAAACCCTACTCCATATTAGAAGGCAATGTCCCCTTGTTATACCATAAATGGTAATCTGTAGTTCGATCACCTGTGGTCGACTACCTGTGATCACGTGACAACGCCAACTAGCCAACCAGATTCACAAAAATGAATATAAATCACGTGACACTGCCTTAATGACCAATCAGAGGCTCTCTTTTACACCACGTGACAACTGTGCAGAATAGATATTTTTTGCAAAAAAGACACGTCGATCCGGTATCGGTAAAGCAGATTGGCTGTTTTTGATCACGTGACTCGATAGAAACCCTACTCCATATTAGAAGGCAATGTCTCCTTGTTATACCATAAATGGTAATCTGTAGTTCGATCACCTGTGGTCGACTACCTGTGATCACGTGACAACGCCAACTAGCCAACCAGATTCACAAAAACGAATATAAATCACGTGACACTGCCTTAATGACCAATCAGAGGCTCTCTTTTACACCACGTGACAACTGTGCAGAATAGATATTTTTTGCAGCAATATAAATCACGTGACACTGCCTTAATGACCAATCAGAGGCTTTCTTTTACACCACGTGACAACTGTGCAGAATAGATATTTTTTGCAGCCAAATCAGCACATACATTACTACTAACGTCGACCAGGCAAGATTTAAACTTTTCAGAAAAAAATCAAGATTTTCGAAAAAATGTATGAAGAAAAATTCAGGGAAAAGAAAATACTCGCGGTAAATAAAATTTGCGGTAAATCGTGGTTTTACTGTAGTAGGATGGACTCGACTGTAGCCAGGAACAGTCTATGCATACCGGACTTCCATACCATATTTATCTGGTTGCAGGTCACCCTTAGCTTTTCTAACTTCGAAGTCTTTCTCAGAACCTTTCATTCTACTACCCAGGTATACAAAGTTCTCGACTTTTTCTATACTTTTCCCACTCGCAGCCGATATTTTCGGAATATCATAATCTCTAATGTTGATTCCCATATACTTAGTTTGCCCCTCGTTTAGGTGTTTATTTCTCATGATTTATGATTGTGTTCTGCCAATTGCATGACTTGATTTAATTTATTGTAGATATTGTTTGAATGACCTTCTTCCTTCCTATATAATATATATCCCTCTTAAAGTAGAAAGGTTAAATTGGACAAATTAGGTTATTTTTGCAGCCCCAGGCCATAATATAACAAGCACAGTCACATTATCGTTGGGGTTTTGCAGGCTTTATTAGTTTATTTTTCGTAAGTCCTTCTACTACTGATAGTTCAACCCTCAATCACGGTTTCCCGATAATTGGTTGATTCAGGGGCCCATAGGTGCAGATTTCGTTTTGAGGTGAACTTTTAAGTTCCTGAGAAATTTTCTTAAGTTTGCTTTTTTCGAAAAAGCCACTATTGGCACTCGAGTCCTTGATCTTTCCGATGGTTCACTGGGGCTTTTGAGCTGCCGTCCTTCAGCTTCTGTCAACTGAAATTACTACTAATCCAAGTTGAGGCAATCAGCCGACGCGCGGCTTTTATGGTTATATATGATACGTTTAATCTGTAATAAAGATCAAAATTCAAATTTGTTTCTCTAAAATTTGTTTCTCTAAAATTTGTTTCTCTTTTTCCTCCTCGGGCACATTCGTAACCTAAGGGCCAGGTAAACCTAAACTACATATTGACCGTTATGTACGTCGGTATCTGTTGAGGAGCCAAATCATCTGAAAAGCCCTTAACCTATATTTTGCTCAGGCACGTAGCCAGGATTTTTCTTTGGGGGGGGGGGGGGGGGCTGTCGGCAAGCGAAGCTGCAAGCTGTGGCAGGGGTCTGGGGGCGCGGCCCCCAGCGGGATCCAGGTAAGGGGCGGACCACATTGGCAGGGGCTAGGGGGGCGCAGCCCCCCGGAAAAATTTTGCGAAATAGGGTGTTTTAGGCTAAATTGAAAGTTTAATTAATTTACAAAAATGTAACAGGAATTAAACAGGAATTAAACAGGAATTAAACAGGAATTAAACAGGAATTAAATTAAAATTTTTATGGTGCCGACAGCACCTGAAATCAACGAAATCTGCAGGGGTGTTCAGGGCCATTCAAGCAACCACTGGACCACAAAAGCCTTTGTGATAATAACATTGCAAATTATTGTGAACAACAGTTCAGTTGCGGTGCTATATATGCACATAGACGACAGTTCTTTAATGAGACATTTCAGTATGTTATGTAATTGTCACCATAAAGTGAGAACGTTTTGAGTTAGGAACTCCAAAATTTGCAGACACATTTGGATTGATAATTAAAGTGCTTTCCTAAAGTTTCAAGTTGGTTGTTAACAACTAAGCCGAGTTATGACTATTTTAAGATCTGGCGTATAAATAATCCTGGCACTTAATATGTGAGTTCTTCACTCAATCAATGGCCTGATTGGTTGGAACCTGCTCATAGGACAGCAACCGAAGCGCTATAACGCAAGTTTCTTTGATTTTAAGGAAAGTCACAATCAGTATTCACTTAAAGTGATCAGATCGTCATCCCCAACATGCTTGGTACGGCCTAATGAGGCTCATTGTTGCCCGCTAGTGAATAGGTCCCCATGAGATCAATGATTGGGTGACGAAATCACTTATTAAGTGCTGTGGTGTGTTACATGATTTATAATGTCAAAAACAAGTTCTTCTAGCTGTGCACCTTTAATCTTAATCTAATATTATAACAACAATCTGTTGTTCTCATTTTACAAAATGAACTATTGATAGTTCAGATAATGAACAGGGACATTAAATACTGAACAATCATGTACGCTCTGAATAATCTAGTAATTTTGAATTCCTCTTAAACTTCAATGACCATTAGGCCCCATTATGTTGGCTGCCCCAAGAGTTGACGATGATGAACTTCAAATGAAGGAGTACCAGAGGGAGTACTTTGATTTTCTTGATGATGGAAAGGAACAGAGCATCTACATTAATAAGGTTGGTAACATTAAATCATACTCATTCAGAACTTTAGTACAACCCTTCAATAGCATGATACCAGTGTTACTGGTTAAATGTATTTATTTAATTTAAGCTTAAATTGTTAAATGAAGTCATAAGAAAACTTACAGAAAAGTTGTATTATTGACTAAGATTGCAAAATGTGTACCCAAATTTGGTTTTAAGGTTTCTATATCGATTAAGACTTTGACCAACTTGAATTGTGTCCTGCTTACGACAAATATCATTTTGAAGACATGTGTCTTAGAAATGGTCCAAAAATTAAAGCTAATATAGCTAGGTACCAGCTACCAGCAATTCATGCCAAACTGGTATATCAGTATATCACATACTGCATAATTTGAATACTTTCAACACTACAATATAACAAATAATTTGAGGAAACGATGTAACAGAGTCAATATATTTTAATGTTGACATGGAGTGACAAGTCTGAAGTCCCCATACATCGTAGTCTGATAGTTTCACTGCGTCATAATATATAGGTTATCTGCATAATGCAGTAGTCATATTTAGCATAATATAAGGTTGATTTTCATCTGTGACCTCAAAATTGTGATGGAAGACCTGTTCAATTTAGTAGAGCAGCTGATAATACCCAACTAAAATGATCCTGAGATCACAGTAGTGCCTTAAAGCAGGAGTGATAGTGAAAATGTTTAAACAAAGATCTTTATAATAATTTTTGTTTATCGATCAATTTGATCATAATGTTCATATTTACTATTTATGCTTAACTGACATGAAACCTCGGCATCAATAAACCAATAGAAAGGGGTTATGACACTGTACAGTGTACATGACATTTGACATCAAGAGTTGATGGTTTGATATAAATAGTTAACTCTTCCTACTGTTGCAGATATCAGACATGATTCAGCAGCAAGGAAGAAGACTTGTTGTGAACATCAATGATCTACGCAAGGACAAGCCTTCTCGTGCATTGACCTTGATGAAAAACTCAAGCAAGGAAATCATCTCATTTCAAAGGTACGGTTTAATTTAATTTTCAAATGTTGGTAAATCAGTAAATGCACTATTTTAATTTGGCGAATCCGCGAAAAAGATTTCATGAAGTACTACTTTAAAAAGCTTATGATTGCTTCATTGTTGAGGAGTTAACTGTATATTATATATATATATACTACACTACTAGGGCACTCAAAGAGCTGGTTGAGCAGCTAGACAGTGAATTTGGACGTGACAAAGATTTCTACATCGGTTTCGAAGGGAGCTTCGGCGCCAAACATGTTACTCCTCGTTCCTTGTCAGCGCGTAACCTCAACAATCTGATATGTGTCGAAGGTATTGTGACTAAGTGTTCGCTTGTTCGGCCCAAAGTTACCAAGAGTGTCCACTACTGCCCTGCCACTAAGAAGTCTATGGAACGCATGTACACGGATCTCACCTCTTTGGAGGCTTATCCTTCTTCTGGAGCTTACCCGACTAAGGATGAGGAGGGAAACCCACTGGAGACAGAATATGGTTTGTACATCGTTCCTCAAGTGTAAAATGTGTTTAAATAAGAGCTTTGATCTAGATCTGTTATTTAGAATTCTTTCGTTCAAAACGAGTTAATATTCGAAGCCAATAACAATATTGATAATCAAGCTTAAACACCTAGCCTAGCAAATAAAACTGTTAAATTTATTTATTAATGAGTCTGGTGCAGGTAAGTGTACATATCAGAACCATCAGACTGTAACGTTACAAGAGATGCCAGAGAAAGCTCCTGCGGGCCAACTTCCTCGGAGTATTGACATCATCTGTGACAACGACCTTGTGGATAAGTGCAAACCAGGCGACAGGTTGGTATTTAAATGGTGCCCGAATTGTTGAATATTTACACGAAATTTGAGCTGTGGTTTGACAGTCCATTTAGATACTGCTACCTTCTGAGGAACTTTATGCTAGATATTTCGGTATTCTTTACCCGGAATATCTCTACTGAGGTACACATTGTTCCACTTAACATTTAATATTTCCCAGGATACAAGTGATAGGTACATACCGGTGTCTCCCCTCCAAGCAACAAGGATTTAGCAGCTGCACATTTCGTACAATTATCATCTGCAACAACATAAAATGTATGAACGTTGATGATCACCCTACCCTCTCTGCTAGTGATATCTCTAAAATCAAACGCTTTAGTCAGGTATGACACTTAGTTACCCTACTAAGTATCAGTCGCAAAAGTAAATACCTATAATTAAGATTGAAACTATTTTTAGATTATTGCAGTTTTGGACAAATTTTTTTAAACGGTTTCAATTAAGATCAATGCTTTTGTTGGAACTTATTTTTAAAACTTTTTAAATACCTCAAACCAAGGACCTGGATAAGTTCAGACTATTCCTGATGGAACATTAACCTTAAATAGGGTAAATAGATCTGCAAAGTTGCAGATTCTGATTAAATTATACTTTGTTAAAATGATCGGCATTAAAAATGGGTGTTAACCCTAGCTCTAGCTCTCGGAATTTAATTTAGCTGCGATTGTATTAATTTAAAGTTATGAAGTGCTGGTTTGACCTTTCTAATATCACGTTCAGGTAAAGGGAGCTGGAGGGGCAAAGGTCGTTGATCAAAATTACCCCCTGCCCATCCCCTAATCCAATATTGCCCGCAGCAAAAGAAAGGTAACATATTCGAGGCCCTAGCGCGCTCCCTGGCCCCCTCAATCCACGGTCACGAGTACATCAAGAAAGCAGTGTTATGTTTGTTACTTGGAGGTGTCGAGAAGATTCTGGAAAACGGGACACGGCTCAGAGGCGATATCAACATCATGCTGATCGGGGATCCCAGTACAGCTAAATCGCAGGTATGATTTAGGAGCTTTATGTTTGTGTAGTGTGACTAATAACACTCGGCTATGCATCAAGCAATAATTTGATTTTGCACATCGTTTAAAAATCATTATTTTATTCCACGCATTTGCATTACAAGTCATATTATACATGTTTAAACGCGTGGTAATTGTATGCATTCTAGTTAATTGGTATTTAGAATGTTTCTCTTGATCATGAACATGTTTGAAGCAAGTTACCTTAACGCAAATTACACAAGAATATAATCTGATCTGAAGTTTAAAATTTGACAGGAAATTTGGCATTGTTCGTGGGAAATCGGTGAAAGCGCCGCTGGTTCCATTCCTCTAGTTAATGGCTTGATATAACTTGGACTTGATGAAATTATAAAACGATTCTTTTGTAAAAATATATTAAAACGTCATAGACATTAGACATACTGTACATTACATTACACAGACTGTTAATGGTTTGAAGTTAGTTAATCGACTCAATTATAAGTTAATTAATTAGCTGCTCTGACAAATTGATTCTCTAGGTACTAAGGTATGTGTTGAACTCCGCTCCACGAGCTATAGCAACAACAGGTAGAGGCACTTCCGGTGTGGGTCTCACTGCTGCTATCACCACTGATAAAGACAGTGGAGAGAGACGACTTGAAGCAGGTTACTTTTACATATTTACTGGGTGTAATAATGTATTATGTACCCTATATGTCAGAAACAACCGACCATGTAAATAATCGTAGGTAATCGTAAAGAGCAAGGGAGGTGGGGCAGCTTTGTTTTGTATTATAACTCAATTGTCAAGCGACAATGATTTCACTAAATTGCTCCCAGAACACTCTTTACCCACTTGCTGCCCCCACCCCACTAGCTCCCCTTCCCCAACAGCCCCCTTACCCCATTTATTACCACACCCACTTCATAGGCTTGCTCGCCCTGAACTGGATGTTGTTTCAGGTGCAATGGTGTTGGCAGATCGAGGTATAGTTTGTATTGATGAGTTCGACAAGATGAGTGATATCGACAGAACTGCCATACACGAGGTTATGGAACAAGGGCGTGTTACAATCTCCAAAGCTGGTCAGTTTCTCTTTCTCTATCTTTATGGGGTTCTGTTTCTTTATATGTATTTTTTTTCCGTTTTTCTGTGTATTTGATTCGATCTACAGATGCGAAGACTTAAATGTCATTTCAGAAAACATATGAAAGTTAGAAGATAAAAAGACATAACTCTTATTTTTTTTAATTTTGCTTATTTCACTGCACTTCCTTGCGTTTTGCTCTTACACATTTTCGACTGCTTTTAAATTGAGAGTCGACAGACAAGGCATCGGAAGCGATATCGCTTAAACGGAGATATGAGATATTGCTGTAATTAGACCTTATACGCCGCCATCTCCTCGCCCTGTAATATGTGTTAAATTCGCACCGCTGTATTTATTTGACAATTGACAACAACTAATATGATACATGGGGGGGGGGGGGGGGGGGGTGGGGAAGGGGCCGAAAGTCATCACACATACTTTAGGTCTTATAACATAGCCATGTTTCATATTTGAGACCTGCAGATGGCATACTGTCTTCAAAATCTGAATCAGCGTTGAATCGCTTATATTCGTGTTTGAACATGCTTCAATAGGTCATTAAGGGGGGGGGGGGGGGGGGGGGGGGGGGTGGGGGGACAATGGGTATTTTTTTGTGAAACTTGATTTCGAGATAGCAGTTGACCCGAACCGCCAAATGGTGCCCGCGGGGCAGCCACGCCCATATTTGGTCCAAATAAGGCCCAATTTAGCCAAATACCCTGAACATGCCCAAAACCCAGGTTAAAGGTCTACTTGTAGCTAGTGGTCTCCTGAACTCGTATATGAAATTTCGTCAAGATTGGACAAAAGATGACTGAATTATGAGCCAAAAACCATATGCCCATATTTGGGCATACGTATCAAATTTGGTAGATTTCGTCCCATAAATTAGTCAACTATCAATATTTTTGAATGAGACTTACTTGATTATATAAAAGATAAGCCTAAACTACATATTGGGCATATTTGATATTCTCTAGCTCTGTAAGTTATTGCTTTACATCTGTTTAAATGTGGACACTAAGGCGAAAAAATGAACAAAATTGCCGTTTCTTCGTTCGCGATATTCGCGGAATTGATTTCATTAATTTGGAAATAACTCAATCAGTTTTCAAAATTTTTGCATGAAATAGGAAGCCGATTTTTGATTTAGGCCTCCAAAAAAATTTGGCGGCCAAATTCTGAATTTTTTGTGGAATTTAAATGTGGAATATGATCTGAAAAGATGACGCGAAGCGGATTTAAAATGACAAAGTTATGAAGCAATTTGTTTAAAACTTTGTTCTGAATTCTACTTTCTCAGCAACCAGGTTGTCAGGGTCATCTGAGTAGCTAGAGCTCCGATTTTCCATCACAAATGTATTTTAAAAGGCCAAACTCAATGCAGTACAATTTGACTTGATACAATCATTCAAAACATCTCAATAATTTGAAATTGAACGTTCATTCGTAAAAAATGATCATGGTTGCTATTCGATTTGATATATTCCTCGAATGAGTTTAAATAAAAGCAAGTCATACCAGAAATAATTCTTTCAATCGGACACTCAGTGACTGAGAAATTAGCCCAAACGTATGTGAGCTGACTTTATCCCCCTTTGAATGCCTCTAGCCTGGCAATTTAATTAATTTGTTAGGGTCTACGTGGTCACCTAAGAATTCATGGATGAAATACGGATGACAAGATATCTTTAAGTCTATTGTATACTATTATCGAGTCCCTATTTAGTATTTTGGGTAACAGTTATTCGGTGCAATGAATGAACGGCAAAAATGGTTATAAAAATGGTTACATATTTATGTAAGAAATATTGGTCCTAGCTCATTATCATTCCTTGGAATTGCTAGTGAATGCCTTTCTTTCATATAGAATAAGTTTCAATCTTATAGGGAACTTGAGCTACAATATGGTTTATGCGGACTGTCATTTTGTGAGACAAATACCAATAAATCTAATTATCAACTACGTTGCAGGCAACCACAATTTCATGTTTAATAAATAATAAATATTCTATTTTAACGTTTCAAAGAATGTTCCGTGGCGAGAATTGCCTTCTGATACTGTAATTTTATTGGACTATAATAATACTGTCCAGGTATACACGCCAAGTTAAATGCCCGCTGTTCCGTGTTAGCGGCCGCTAACCCTGTATACGGCAGATATGATGAGTACAAGAACCCTATGGATAACATCGGCATGCAGGTATTGTAGAGTGTGTCACGTGACAACGTGACACGTGGTATAAACTATGACGTCATGACACATGTTATGGCGTCACACCACGTGCATGATGTCACAGCACGTGCGCCCTTTCTCTTAGGAACTGTTTTGTACAGAATTTTCTTAGTATAAACCCATATTTTGTTTGGAATACAATAAAGGAGCTATCTCCAATGAAACCTAAAAGTACAGGGTGGACTGCTTGTCAAGAAACATTCGACTACTTCGTGGACAGGTTTAAAATAAGGGATATTTAATTATCAACAGCTTGGTTGGTGGCCCACTATGCTGTGCCAACCGTCATAAGTTCACGTCATAAAAATGTATTAATAACGATTCTTATAGTTAAATTAGTAATTTCATAATCGGGTTTTTCAGGCCCTTACTTGGCAGGTGCTTATCTTCATTTTTGCACCAAATTCTGGTAAAACAACAAATTATCTCATTAATATCAGATCGTTACAATTAAACATTCTGGCAACAATTCAATAGAGGGGAACTCATTGACACAGATGGGACCTCATTGACACAGATGGGACCTCATTGACACAGAGGGGACCTCATTGACACTGAGGGAGAGATAGCCTCGTCTGAGTCCTTAAACATAATTTATCACAAGACATATCCCCTCTCATAATACATTAAAACCCCCTCCCCTCTTCTAATACAACCCCTGGCAGCAACCCCTCCCTCCTACACAAGAGAGCATAAATTGCTTGATTGCAAATTGCAATGTCTCGGGACTATTGTATTAATGTTCTGTCTTATATTGATAGTTTTGGTAGATATCTTTTAAATCCCTGATCGCGTAGATTTCCTTTGGTTAAAAAACTGCGATTTGATGGTTGGTTGCCTGGTTGTGTATTAATTGCTGGGATATTTCGTGCTCATTCGTTCTTGAACCAACTAGAACTTCTGGGATCGTGCAGCTTAAGCGCTACTTCTAGAACTCTACGTTACTAATACTACTGATATTCTGTTGATTTAGCCACCATGTGGTTAACCCCTGAAAAATAGCACTAAAAGTAAGCCATGGCGGGAAGTTAAGAACTGAAAGCAAAGTTTACAAAGTATTTTTGGTTGCTCACAAAGCCCACGAATTGAAATGAAGAAAAAGGCTTTCAAAAAGTCTATGAAAATTAGGTTAATAAAACTCGAAGAATTTATTTAGGATATCGTTTGCTAAAATAGCTAAAAAAGTTGAACCTTGTCCAATATCGAAGTTAGACAATTTTGTCGAAAATTAGGAAATATGCATCATGCAGAAATGTGAAGAACAAGAGTAGAGCAGTACATGGTTAAGTTGTGGCACAACCCCCGTACTTTCCTTACGAGATGATGCTCAAGATAAACACCAGCAAAGTAAAATGAAGTAAAAGGAAGTAAAATGAAGGAAAATAACGCTCACATCTTTATCCTTGAAAAGGCCGATTCTAGATCGAATATTCTCCACGAATTTGCTAATTTAACTACAAGTAAAAGAAATATTCAATCTTAGCACAGTGTGAAGTGAAACCACCAACCAAGATGTTGTCAAATTATCCCGTGTGTTAAATATTATGTCCACGAAGTATTCGAATATTTGGTTTGGGGCGTGGAAATGTAAATTAGTAATAAACGATCGCTTATAGTACTTTAAAAATGTGATTAAATCTTAAGGGATAGGCAGGATATTAATATATCAAAATATTTCATTTTCGCAACCCGTCTGATTGAACTGCTGTTTCAGTCGGGTAACTGTTTTAATTGCCCACTACCCATTAAAAATCTGAATTTTTTAAAGACACTCGGCTACCAAATCTCTTAAAATTAAAACTATCCCTGTTACTGCAGCAACCTTCATTGAAATTACAACCGTTCGAAATTTTTAAAGAGCAGCCGTTTAGCCCGAGAAATCATTTAACCAACCCTCACTAACAGCCTCTGTCCTATTTATACCAGGATTCGTTGCTGTCTCGATTCGATTTGTTGTTTGTCGTGCTGGATGTCATGGACCCGGAGCATGATGCACGCATCGCTGAGTTCGTTCTCCGCATGCACCGCTACAGAAATCCTGGTGAACAAGTTAGTTTTAAATCACACCTTTTACTTTGATCGTTTTACCTTCAAATATAACCTTTACAGTAAACTGTCAAGATAATCACTATCACCATTAGCGAAATATAATTTGCACTACTTATAACGGGAATTAATTAGTAAATTTTAGTCACTTTGTATAACTTGATTAATTTTGTCAGAGCTGATGTTATTTTATATTAGCACAATGAGCACTGAGCAGGGATGTGGAGCACTGCACAATGCTCAGTGTATGTTTTAGACTTACATTTTAGATTTTATTTAAATGTCATAACCCAATCCAAGTTTGATAGCTGGTTCATTCTTTAATGCAATGATTCAGAAATGCTGAATACCTTATATGACGAGCTTCAAGGATATTACTTTTTAATAATGAAAATACTAATAAAACAAATAAATTTCATGAAATAATCATTCTAAAATGCTACACGATAAACAATAAGAATATATTGAATAATGAACATTGAACATCTACATCAGCTTTATAAATTGAGCGTGAACAGAGCTCCCTGATGATCTAGCACATGTGAGCATGTCTACATATACCATCGCCACATCTCACTGTGCCACAAGCACACCCATCAGCGTTTGTCCCTTCACAGTCGTCTCCATCACTTGGAACGTAGTCTGGATCATTGTCATTCTGACCAGTGAGTATCCAGGTTGGGACCGCCCCCCAACTGAAGTGCTCACAAAGATCAGTACCTCGTGCTGTCTCGAAGTACCCTCCCATACCCCAGGATGTACCCCAACTGTTCTTTACAATCATTGAGTTGGGTGTGTAGCCAACAGCGGTAACAGCGTGGTTAGCCGTGGTGTCACCCATATCATCACATGTCGTGTCTTTGATAATTCCCTTTTGGTAGTTGAAGAAGTCGTCAGTCACCTCGAAAGCTGTCCCGACTGCTCCTTTAGCAAGGAAGGAGATCATGTTATCCTCCCCAGGAGGGATGGTATAATAACCGGTTATCTTCGCTGCTATCAGAGCATTGTGCTGCCTGTTGTAGTACCCACCACAGTACTGGTCACTAGCGTAGTAGGGAGCATCCCTGGTCAGAGCCAGCCTGCCATGCTTCTCAGAATAGTCCCAACAGTCCTCGTAGAAGCCACCGTCACAACCTCTGTTCCAGTTGTAGACGCAATCCAGGTATTCTTTCTCTGCGAATGATTTCCTCTTGCCAGTGAGAATAGCGTAGTTTGTCTCAATGGGACCAACTGCTCCGAACGTCCAACAAGCACCACAGCCTCCCTGGTCTTTAACTCCGGTAACTTTACCTTCAGCTCTCCAATCCTTAGACTCAGGAATGTCAGACAAATGGACAATGTTGGAGGAGAGCGTTCTGTGGAGAGCAGAGGAGTTCAGTCCCAGATAACTTCTCTTCTCTTCAACCGTCATGTCAGAGAACATGTTAAGCCCTTGTGTCCAGGACAAGTGCTTTGCGTTGCACTTTGCAATCTTCTTAAGGGTACTCCTGAAAAGAGCTAGTCTTTGGGGAGACTTAGCTTTACCTTCCTTCACGGAGTACTGTTGGTAAAGATTCAACAGAAGTCTAGGGTTTTGTAGAGCAGAACTGACAGCAAGGTCATTGTAGTGGACCGCACTGGCGATGCCCAGTACAAGGGAACACAACACAACTCTGTACATTGTGGGGAGAATCGTGGAGATCGCTTAGAAAATGATCCTCAAAGAAGGGAGGTTCTGTTATAAAGTGGACTTAACTTTAGACTATTTAGACACCTGTGGTAGCAAGTTTCATTGTCTGCTCTTACTTTAAACACCTGTCTGATTTATAGTATTGTCTCTAATATAATTGTGTCAGTTGTGAGTTGAGTAGGCGCTTTTTTCACTTTACGTACCATTGTATTTCAGCTCCTAATCAGTTTGTCACTCTAATTAGTTTGTCACTGTTCGATTAGAAAAGATTGCAAAATAATCCTTAATTATTTAAAAAAACAAGTCTAGATTTCTTATTCGAAGGCTTATATTTCATTTATAGACGTAGACGTAAATCGTCATACTCATTCAGATTTTAGAGAATAGTAATTGCCCATCTACTAGCCCGATTAGGAAAATATAGATATCCACATGTAAATCGCTCTGATACAGTTGAGCAGGATCTAACAGCATTTGTCTCAGGACGGAGAACCAATCAGGATAGATGGTGATGTGGACAACCTGGCAACTTATGAAGACAAAGAGGAGGAGGAGGAAATGGAGTTGTACGTGAAACATGACAACCTGCTACACGGTCAGAAGAAGAACACTCAAAAACTCTGCAGTCTCCAATTCTTGAGGTAATTATTGGGGTGGGGTGGGGTGGGGTGGGTGGGGTGGGGTGACGATGGGCTAGTACGTGGATTCTTGCCAGGTGACCGCACAGTTGACTTGCTATCAACATATTATTCCTGTACAGCTTTAACCGCTGGCTAACCCGAGGTATTGATCCTTGTTAAGTGGGCAGTAATTCTTAGCTCGGATCTATATGGACTTTATTAGTTCCTCTGGCTATTTCTATCCAGTGGAACGCTATATCAAGGGTTTTACCATCATGATCACTCGCAACCGTGAGTGCTAAATATATATTTGAGTGAAATAAAGTGCCTGATTCTGCAGTGGTTTCCCTAGAAGATTTCAGTAGTATCTTGCTATAAACCCTAAATAGGTGGAGTTTTAATGTTGCACTAAATTTTAAGAGTTTGCAGTTTAAATGGTTCATCAAGGTTACCTTGTCAGACGACAGTATATCATATTCTCGATCAGTGATAGTGATGGAATACTCTAAGAAGATAAGTGATCACTCTAATATTGATCAATATTGATCAATCACACGTCATACGTCACATCCACCAAGTTCCCTGAGAGTTGCTATCGTTGCTACTGTTCATGTTGCTACTGTTCTTTTGAAGAGTGTTGAATACTCAACTAGTCCCCAGAAGAACTTGCGTACCTCATTCTTTGACTCAGGGCATTTGAACACATAGTTTATAGCTGACTGAAGTTTAGAGTTTAGACTATAGAAAAAAATCATTGAAGTGCTTAAAAGTTAACTTTGTTATAATGTTAATTGTTACTCTTCATGTTAACAGAGGTCCAGTTGTAACTCAAGCAATTTTATTTCGGTAATTTCATTGTCTACCACTACCACTTGATCAGAAGGGGGTTTCCTTCTCAATAATTAAAAAGGTTGACTAAACTCTGATCACATATAACCCGGCACCCGCCGTTTTAGGATTGTTGTCCATTTAAATTCTAAAATCCAGCTGTTTCAGGAAGTATATTCACGTGGCCAAGAACATGAGCCCAGTGCTGACTCGTGAAGCTGCCGAGTGCATCTCCAACGAGTACGCCAAACTGAGAACTACTGATAACCTCGGTTAGTTTGATTATATTCTGTGATTTTCATACTTTGAGGACTTTTCACTGGACGTGTTACTGCCTCATTGAAATATTATGGTTATAGTTATAATACTTGATCTTAACAGTTAACTGGAAATAGGGTGGCTGGTATATATTATATTACTCTGGTAACAGAACGTTCTGTACCTCCAGGAAATAAGAGCAAGACGTTGCCGATAACAGCCCGAGCACTGGAGACCTTGATCCGTCTCTCTACAGCTCATGCTAAAGCTAGGATGAGCAAGACAGTGGAAAAGAAGGACGCAGAGTCTGCGGTAGAGCTGGTGAGTTCTGCGGTGTTCTGCTTTATTATAATTAAGGGACAGAATAGCTGACTCCTGTGCTATACAGCAACCTTAACGTGGCATTACGATATTTAATGAATAAATTAATGAAATTAAAATTTTGTCCGAGCGGAAATCCGATGTTATCATTGATATCTCTGCAAGTCCTTCACATCACTCCGGTTGCTTAGTTTTTCAGATTATATTGTTTTGGGCAATACCCGGAAATCACTTCCACTAGTCGTCTGATTGTTATTTATAACTTAATTCTTTGTGTCGGACCTCGAGATTTTCCCTTCAATATTCCCTTATTTGGTAATATCTAAGGTTGCCTAGCATTGGATCGATTACTTACCAAAGCTTTCATTTAAACACCCTTAAACGCCTATAATAGTTACGGTACTTAGCTGCCCTTCTGCAAAAAACCCATACGACTTTTCTTACTTAAATATTTAATACATTGATCTATTCGATTCATTAGAATTAAAATTAGATAAATTAGTATTAAAGTAGTGCCTCCTAAAAATTGAAGTCCCACAAGGTTTAGTTCTAGGTCCAATTCCCAGTGCAATAAAGACAAAGGAGTGTGAATTATTTTACAATAGGACATGGTTTTAACATTTATCCCAGTTCAATTTGTAACGGAGTTTTATATTAACAGGAAATGATGTAACAGAGTCGATATATTTTAATGTTGCCATGGGGTAGCAAGTCCCCATACATCGTTGTCCGGTAGTTTCATTGCGTCTTAATATATGTACGCAGACGATAGATTTAACCCTCGAGACGAGTTTAGCTCTCTATTTAAGCTCTATCGACAGTTACATACTGCAGAATGATACGGTGTTTTTAGATATAAAGAGCTGGATGGCCCAAAATAAGGTATAGCTTTAAAACCAAAGCAAAACAGAAGCTCTTACAGTGCATTCCAAAATCAATTCATACCTGGTTTCATAGTTGGTTCTTGCGTCAATTTTTCGGGAAAAGGGCGTTTAAGTGCATAAAAGTGTGTTTGCCTTAAATCTTGCAGGTTCCTATGTTTGGATAAACAATTAAAACGACCTTTATAAGCTAATTAAGACTTAACTTGTCATGTAATACTTTATAACATGATACTATATAGTATGTGGACAATAAATGAATATTGAGAATACCATATTACAATCGGCCACCATCAAAAGAAGTCTATTACTACACTGACATTCTAAAAATAGCTAACTGTATGGCCGATCAATATGTGGAATCTTGAATGTTCTGGCCGATGGTATGTGTAGTGTGCACTGTATAAGTTTATTTGGTAAAACGTCCCTAAAGGTACCTAAAAGTGCGTGAATTTAGGTCGATTTGTGCGTAAAGTGTGCACAAACCAAATATACCTGATTTCCTTATGAACAAAATTCAGAAGGTACAAAACTCCTGTGTTCAATTCTTGTTCGGTGGAAAAGCCATAAAAAAGTGGGAAAGTGTCACTCCTTTTCTAAAAGAAAATGTCACTCCTTTTCTAAAAGGGCCCACTCCTCTAATAAGACAAAGAAAGATTACTCTAACTTGTCAGCAACATAGCCCCAGGCCACACTGTATTATTGAATGGATTGGCATCACGAGACAAAGGCTTGTGGTACGAACAGACCAAAACGTTTTTCTTCTAAATGTTCTTATTGTCCGGATCCTGTTCAAACATTAAGTAACTGTGGACCTTTTTTAACGACTATAAAGCGTTGTATAAATGGGGGCTAATTAAAACCCGCCAAATTTGGTGTCAAACATAATGCACTTAAAAAGTCTGAAGCCCTTTTCTTACCAGGTGAACTTCGCCTACTTCAAAGAAACAAAGAGGAAGACGAAAAGGAGGAAGGACAGAGAAGAGGATGACAGCGATATGGAGGAGGACGACGAAGAGGATCCATTTAGGTGAGACATTTTTTAATTTTCTCGTCTAGTTAACTTGTTAGGTTGCCCACAAATGAATTGTTGCGAATGAAAAGATGCAAAGGTCTTGAATTCTTGCGAATTCAAAGTAAAACTGTCTTTCCCTAAATTGTCTTGACGGGCATTAGTTCACAATGATTCTATTTAATCATTTTCATTCAAACCAATTCTTGCGAATTCGAAATTTAAAAAATATTTCCCAGTCTTAATTTTAGTCTTAGCGACCATTAGTTATCCAGAGCTGCACTGGTAGAGCTGGATATACGTCAGACTTTAAAGTTTAGAAATGACGCAGCTTCTTGATCTTGACTTTTAACAAGTTAATGACCTCACGTCATAATCTTTAACAAATTTTAGTTTTGTGCGTTAGTTCTGAGCCTTGTGTTTAACAGGTCACCTAACGATTAATGTAAGAGGTAGGAAATATAAACGGTTTAAGTGACTTGAAATAATTCTCACGGCTGAGAGCTTAATATCGAAGCCTCTGCTGCAACTGCCTCATTCTCTGAACGATCTGTTTGCTGAAAGTGGTATGAACCTCAAAATGCTAACGTTTATTTAAACGTTTGTTTGATTTATTCAGTTTGTCATGGCATGGCTTGTGAACACTGATATTATGAATTACCCTAAATTTTAAATCAATCTAGTGAGCTTGATTAACATCACATTGGCTCCAAGTTGCTTAGTATAGACAAATGTTTCGCTGTGTTTTATAGTATTTTCCTTTAAACACCCTTGCTTTATGTCGAATACTCATCTCCGATCTTATTTTAATGACTATGTCTCTGAATCTGGTTGATCCACAAATAATTTATTACAAAATACAGTTTAATCAAAACCCGTTTTACCGCGGCAGTCTATTTTCCCGCTTACTCCGAGGTTTTAAATCAGGATTTTACTGTTAATTATAGGGGGGGTGTCACGTCCGTCTATGTCCGCTTGTCTCATAGAATCCAAAAAGGACAGGACATAGGCGGACATAGACGGACATAGGTGGACATAGGCGGACATAGACGGACATAGGCGGACATAGGCGGACATAGGCGGACATTAATGGACACCTAAATTGCTAAATAAAATGTTCAATTTTTGCTGTTATAGGGGGGATCATGTTTTTTGTCCGTTCGGTACCCTATATTTTCAAAACGGACAAAAAATAGAGCGGACAAAAACGGACAAAAATGGACAAAAACGGACAAAAATGGAAATAACATTTAGATGCTTCCTCCTCCTACTCTTCCTCCTCCTCCCCCTGGGTCTTCCTGTCTTCCTCAGTCCTCTTCCTCCTCCCCTCCTCAGTCCTCCTACTCCTCCTCCTCGTCCTCAGTCCTCCTCATCAGTCCTCAACAGTCCTCCTCCTCCCCAGTCCTCCTCCTCCTCCTGAGTCCTCCTCCTGGGTCCTCCTCCTGGGTCCTCCTCCTCCTCTTCATCCTCCTCCTCTTCCTCCTCAGTCCTCAGTCCTCTTCAGTCCTCCTCCTCATCCTCCTCCTCAGTCCTCCATCCTCCTCCTCAGTCCTCCCCCAGTCACCCTCCTCCTCCTCCTATTCAGTCCTCCTCCTCCTCCTCCTTCTCAGTCCTCCTCAGTCCTCCTCCTCCTCCTCCTCTTCCCTCTCAGTCATCCTCCTCAGCCATCCTTCTCAGTCCTCCTCAGTCTTCCTCAGTCCTCCTCCTCAGTCCTCCTCCTCATCTTCATCCTCCTCCTCTTCCTCCTCGGTCCTCCGTCCTCCTCCTCCTGGGTCCTCCTCCTCATCCTTCTCATCAGTCCTCCTCCTCCCCAGTCCTCTCCCAGTCCCCCTCCTTCTCCTCCTCCTATTCAGTCCTCCTCCTCCTCCTCCTCAGTTCTCCTCAGTCCTCCTTCTCATTTCTCCTAAGTCCTCCTCCTGAGTCCTCCTCCTCCTCCCTCTCAGTCATCCTCCTCAGTCATCCTCCTCAGCCATCCTCCCCAGTCCTCCTCCTCCTCCTCAGTTCTCCTTCTCATTTCTCCTAAGTCCTCCTCCTGAGTCCTCCTCCTGAGTCCTCCTCCTCTTCCTTCTGAGTCCTCCTCCTGAGTCCTCCTCCTCCTCCCTCTCAGTCATCCTCCTCAGCCATCCTCCTCAGTACTCCTCAGTCCTCCTCCTTCTCAGTCATCGTCAGTCCTCCTCCTCAGTCCTCCTCAGTCCTCCTCCTCCTCCTGGGTCCTCCTCCTCCTCCTCCTCCTGGGTCCTCCTGATCCTCCCCAGTCCTCTTCCTCCTCCCCTCCTCAGCCCTCCTCCTACTCTTCCTCCTCGTCCTCAGTCCTCCTCATCAGTCCTCAACAGTTCTCCTCCTCCCCAGTCCTCCTCCTCCTCCTGGGGCCTTTTCCTGGGTCCTCCTCCTGGGTCCTCCTCCTCCTGGGTCCTCCTCCTCCTCAGTCCTCTTCCTCCTCTTCCTCCTCCTCCTCCCTCTCAGTCATCCTCCTCAGCCATCCTCCTCAGCCATCCTCCTCAGTCCTCCTCCTTCTCAGTCCTCCTCAGTCCTCCTCCTGAGTCCTCCTCCTCCTGAGTCATCCTCCTCAGTTCTCCTCCTCCTCCTCCTAGGTCCTCCTTCTGGGTCCTCCTCCTCCTCCTCCTCCTGGGTCTTCCTGATCCTTCTCCTCCCTCTCAGTCATCCTCCTCAGTCATCCTCCTCAGTCATCCTCCTCAGCCATCCTCCTCAGCCATCCTTCTCAGCCATCCTCCTCAGTACTCTTCAGTACTCTTCAGTACTCTTCAGTCCTCAAAATGTTTGTCCGCTAATGTCCACCAATGTCCATCCGCCAATGTCCGTCCGGGTCCGCCAATGTCCGTCCGAGTCCGCCAATGTCCGTCCGAGTCCGCCAATGTCCGTCCGAGTCCGCCAATGTCCGTCCGTGTCCGCCAATGTCCCAAAAAACACGTCCGTTGTCTCATAGAATCCAAAAAGGACAGGACATAGGCGGACATAGACGGACATGACACCCCCCATTATAATATAATTAACAGTAAAATCCTGATTTAATGAATTTAAGGGCAAGTACTCTCAAAAAGAGGATGTGATTTTTGTCGGATAGGATCTTCATAGGTGGTCTTAAAACATTTTCGAAAATATGAGCCAGTCCCCAGCTCACTATCCTTACAATTCTCAGGAATTGACATCATCAAACTCAAATCAACAAGTGTTGCGCTGGTCTTGCTTTAATATAAATACATTAATGATTTTTGTGATTGCGGGGAAGAGGATTTGAACCCTTGAAAGAGATGTGCGAATCAAGGAGAATATTTATATATTTTGTAATAATGACAGGTTACCATGAGCAAATATCTGGTTGACACAACAGTGTACTTCAATTTGGGTCGAATTCTTTTATGATCTTTTGAACAGTGTGAAGAAATTTACATTTGGTCAAAAAATAAGAACTTTAGGTCCCCAAATGTTGACACCCAGGCCCAATTGTTGGTCAATAAGTTATTTTTGCTGTCACTAAAACGGATTAGGCTAAGATATTTGTTTCCTTCTCTTTCGTACCAATGGTTACTTGTGGCAAGATGCCGCAAATTCGTTTTGACACGTGACAATAATAAATAATAATAGGTATTGGTGGGTCAATCAGCATGCAGTATCAAACCTTCATATCGCTGTGACTGGATCAATGGAACGCCAATTCTCCAACCAATATTTCCAGTTATCGAAATACACTCTCACTGCCGTTTTAAAATTGTTAGCTCTCGTTATCGCACTGCTTATCTCTTGATAATTGCACCGCTACTGCGCTGCTAGCTTGTTGTGCTGATCTTTACGATGGCAGATTTGGACTTGGAAAGTATCAATTACATGTGGAATGAGATGTTCACCTGGAGCAAAGAGACTCTGAAGAAATTTGGCAAGCCTTACGGAAAGTTAAAGGACATTGCGGACGCTAAGAACTTCAACAGACTGAATAAGCCGGAGATTGTCGATATGTGTGGTCGATCTTTTGAGTATACGAACTATCTTATGGAGACCGTTGAAGCGTATAAGAATGTGTTGACCAGACTTCAGGGTCAGTTAATTGACAAGCAAGAGCAGGTTATCAGTGTTCAGGCCGAGCTATCAGCTTGCAAGACTGAGCAACTTGAAGCGATGAAGAAAACTGTGTCAAGTTCAGTTGCTGATTCAGTGAAAGCGGAGTTCCAATCTTACAGCTCAGTCGTTCAAAGTTTGCCAGCACAGTCTCCAGTAATCAGCCCGGAAGCATTGACGTCTGTAGTCAAGACTATTGTTGCAGAGGAGGACCGCAGCAGGAACCTTCTTATCTTCGGTCTGCCTGAGGAAAAAGAAGAGAAGCTCGAATCTCAAGTCAGTGAAGTTTTGGAAACTATTGGCATAAAGCCAAAAGTAGAGGCTCAGAGAATAGGAAAAAAGAAAACGGTTGACTCAACGCGACCAGTTAAAGTTATCACCTCAAACTCGCTCATCGTTAATCAGATTCTGAGGAATGCCAGGAACCTGCGGCAGAGTGAGAAGTTTAAGACAGTTTTCTTGAGCCCTGATCGGTCTGTCGAACAGAGGAAGCTCCGGAAAGATCTGGTACAGGACATGAAGAAGCGGGCACTTGCAGAACCGACCAAAAAGTTTTACATAAAGGACGGGCAAATTTATTGTGCCGATGAGAGCAACGGTTGACAACTTTTTTGAGTGTTTGTTTCGTGTGCTGTTTTGATATGTTTTGGACCATGTTTGTGAGGGACATATTGGTAGCTGTAGTTATTTTCTATACAAGACTGAATAGTCTTCAGGCTTTAGCTGAGCTTTAATTTCCGACGCAGTTTTGTTGAGCCACTAGTCCATGATGGGGAATATAAACAATATATTTAACTCTTAATGGTCATAGCTACTTTTAATTTCATGAATCATACAGATTTTAAAGTACGCTGGTACGATTTTTATCTTATTAAATTGCTGTTCAATATCTATTTTAGTAAACATTAACTGGGGTAGTAAAACCCAGTTCCCAATCAATCATTTACGCGAATTTAATCTGGAAAAATGCAACAAAATTCAACGGAACGGTAATTATTGTGAACAACGTCACTCGATACGAGATCATCAAATGTCACCTGCACTGCTCCTTGGGTGGTCTAAAACTGACTACGTAACTATGACACAGTTTAGAACCGTAAAATTAAGAAAATGACGTAAATGAAAAAGGCTCAGATTTGTGGTTAGGATTTTTTAAATTCTAAAATTATCCAGCACTATTGAGCCCTCTATTGAGCCCTTCACTTTAATGATTTACGTAATACGTAATACGTACTTAAATAGTTTAAATAGTTTACTGAGAGTGGAATCTCCTAAAATCGTAATAAACATCCATCATCCAGATTCCAGATATATATGGGACTGAAAACTTTGTCTTACATTAATAACTATTTACATCTATTGGAAACGCTATTTAAATTGCTTTAAGAGTCTTAAACTTGGTTTTTTGTGAGTCATACACTTATACTACTACTGCTATGTCAGAACTAAGTCCGATCTACGCCAGATAATTCCTCCATAATCCATATATCCCTGTCCCGCATTAGGGTTCGCAGTCCCTCTTTAGAGTTTTTCCCAAACTTCCTTCAGTAACATAGACAAGTAGCTTTGTCTTGGTCGGCCTTGCTGTGCTCTACCATGCATAGGTTCCCATAAGACTAAATCACTGGCAAGTAGCTCAGGATGTCTCACACTTATAAATTTATTCAAATCACTATCGTTTTTAATTTTTCATATTACTATTCTAATTAAATACAACTTATAATGTAAAACTAGAATATTTATTAGAAATCATGTTATCTCCGCTATCTTTTACACAGTAACTTTGGATCAGAAGGATTTTGCTTGTTCTTTCAAACAGCTGAGAATGGCAGTGAAGTATTCAAATATTTACAAGTTTTTTGATAACATAAGATAATATAATTCAGTTTGAATGTCACTTTATTTGTGTTTTTGTTTGCGGAGTTACACTGTGCCAGTAAAGACTGTCCCGGAATGAAGGTTACATTTTTAATTAGCTTCCCCATAGTTTTTGCCGAGCTTTTCAAGGCATCCGAATTGAACGTTACATCTAATTTCTCTAAAAATCGCAAACTGTGTCATAATCCATAATCCATAAAAAATGTTTCACGTCCTGAAAATTTGGTTGGCACCTATGTGCACTGTGCAGGTTAAGGTAACATAATTTAGTATTAAAGCAAAAATTTACTTTCTCATCCATGAAGTCAAGAAATTCGATCCAGCGATTGTAAACTGTAAAGGCCAGTTTCTTTAATGTTCACATTTTCAAATTCTTATATTTATACATTTTAATCCTGTATCTGGCTAAAAATCCGCTCATAATAAATGATAAGTAATCCCCGGTTTTTCTCAACTGCGCCCGTATCATTTTTTACCCCTTAGACAGACCTTACTAAAATCCCTAAAATCTGTACTCGATTATTTTTTGAGCTATCTAGCATTTACTTGGAATTTGTGTTTCAATCGTTGTTTATAATAATAACGTTTCAGTAATAACGCGACTTAGACGGTTTTTATAAAGCTTGGTCACTCACTTAGTTTACCCGGCCCCTGTTCATGTTCAGCTTTTCGGTACATCCATAATGCAGTTACTTGAATTTAGGACCTTGTACGTCAATGTTCTGCATCGTGATTAGATTTTAGCCAGAAACTTCGTTCAGATCCGACACTAAACATTATATTATCCCGTTAATCTCTAAAATCAGGTGTCATTTATGCAAACATAATATGTGACGGGTATTAGCCATGGTACCTATCATTAAAAAATTTGTCACGAATTTTAACATTCGAAAGATAATAATATGATAATTTCTAGTGAAATACAGTCTAGTAAGATAGGGAAGTTAAATTTTTTTAAATTTGGATAGTTAAATTAATAAGTATATCATAATACGTTTTTCATTCCCAGAATCACTCTTTAACTCCTATCCCATATTTGGAGTTTTTTAACGCTTGTAAGTAATAAAGATGTGTAAGTTATCTGTAAGTAATGTGTAATGAATGTGTATTGTGTAACTTGTAAGTAATGGTTATGTTTGACAGGTTTGATGAAAAAGACAGAAAGAGACCCAGAACCACAACATCAGACACAGCAGGGGATCAGGAGACAATGGAGACAGAGGAGACAGAGGACAGGTCTCAGGAAACAGCCGCTCAACCCGCCGACCCTACCCCGCCTGTAAGTTTAGTTTTATCGAAATTAGTTGTATTTACTATAATTTCCTCTCTTCTTTCTTTATAGTCCTTTTTAAACAAGATATTAGGACTAAACGGAAGTAGAGTGCAGTGTAAATATAATATTTATTTAATAATAATATTTATTTTAACAAGCAAAACCTTCTCAATGTTTAGATAAAATATTTCGGGGATCTCTTTTGAGAACTTATATTTTTGATATGACCAGTTTCTGTCTTATCATCACTGATCTTACATGCCACACAGCTACAGGTTTATTTAAAAGTTCGGAAACCCTGGCCTAGGTGAATTATCACGTACAAAAACATTTTCTAGCAATAAAAGTATCAGGTATACACCCTATACAGTATATGATATCATTTGTGTTATCATATATGAGACTTGATAGGAATTAAACAACATCAAGGCGGGTTCTCAAAGGTGCCGGCTTAATCCCCAATACCATTAGCTACTGTCCTCAAGAATCGTTCCTCATACCTAGTACCACATTATTTTAAGCGCTACAAGAGAAATACCCCAAAATTACGTTGCCCGACCAGTTATCCAGAAGATATTTATCATTGATTTCAAGTTAAGCGGTCAGTCTAGTCATTCGGCTCTGTAAAGGCCATTAAGGGGTTGGTCTGGCTTTTAAAAAGTTTAATTTTAATAACTTTTAAATTATATTTACTTGCTCCGTTTTGTAAGTTAATTCTTAACCAGGTGGAGGGTGTTTCTGAGGAAAAGTTGGAAGCGTTCAGAAAGTTCATACACGAGATATTTAGTACTGGACACAATATCGAACAGGTAACATTCACTAATTAGTTCCAATTAATTAATTACTAACCAAGTTTAGTCAGGATGATGATGATGATGATTATCGTGTGGTTTTAACGAACATTTCTAATATAAATTACTGTCGCACCAATTGTATGTTTAACCAGCGTAACACGATTGCATGCAGCTGACTCTACTGTACTGTATGTGTCAACTGTCAACCTTGTGGTCTTTTTACACGCGTTTATTTTCTAGAAGCCAATTTCTACGAATAAGTTAATATAAAGTACACATATTATTATAAAATATAAAATATACTGACGTAGCGTGTACACAAAATATAAATATAGATTATCGCATGTATGCCTTTAGTCTTAAAAATGTACACTAACTGACATGACATGATCAACATTGAACTTCTTTGATATACTATGACTGTATAGTGTATACTGTATAGCTATAATGTACTATGCGATCTTTGTGATCCACGTTGAGATTACTTGAGTGATTATCTTATTACATGCTTTAAAAATTAAATCAGAGGTCGCTTTTAAAATTACACGCACTGCACAAGTTGATCGCGATTCGTTAAAAGGTTTAAAGACATACAGTTTATTCAATTAGCCACAATATGATTTGGAGAAGCTCTATTCATAGGATTATGTAATCAGTTTAGTGGGTATATATTACTGATTTAGAGTATATCATAGTGCAGTTTTTAGAGTTAAAACTGGTAGTTTTGTTTGGTAGGTCTTACATTTTATTTGAATCTTAGTATTTGGGCCTATATAGTCATTTGCATACTAGTGAGTATAAGACAGTTAAAGGATGAGGGGACCTTAGAAAAAGTTTTTTTCTCGTGCAAATCATATTATTACATTAATCGTAAAAACCACTTTAGTGAAATCCGCAAAGTTGTATTTCATTCGCGCGCCGAGATATCCAGCCAAAACAATTTGAACCTGTGACGTCAATTATGTGAGTTGCTCTGATCCGCGCATATAGAAATACAGGTAAAATGAGCGTGCGGGCTGACTAAATTACTAATTAAGAATACATAAACAATTTACAATACTAACAAGCCTATAACCAATGGAGAGGAGACTTTTTATGACCGGTTGAAAAAAGAATTATCACCCTACGATAACCATGAGCCGAGATACACCTGAAATAAGATTGAAGTCAGAGAAACAGCAGTGCGATTGCAGCTCGTGTGGTGATGAACTCGAAGACGATTCATATTGCTGTTCGACAATCGGGGTTGCGAAGGAACTGACCGAAAGAGAGTCAGTCAACTGCATTACAGACATTCATAGATTCAAAGCGTCAATTTGCGACGAGTCTGTTTTAGAACTCATCGCATATTCTGTGAATCGGAAGGAGTTCCCGGAAAAGGATGATGTTGAGAAAAGGAACAGGCTATACCGTTTCGCTGCTTACAGAACATTCTTTGGGATACTGGAGCTGAACGGACTGGGTAAAGGACGGCGCTTCAGACTACCACAGTGTGTGGTGAGAGTTATCCGCAGAATGTACCCCAGCAAGTCAGGCAAATATGTCGGATTTAAATCACTAAACGAACAAGTTTCGGAAAAGCTAAACATATATTAAGTGGGTCGGTCAACATATCTTCTATTTCATATGTATTGTGCTCTGCCAATTGCAACACTTGATTTGATTGTGCTCTGCCGATTGCAACACTTGATTTTATATTGTTCGTCGCACATTTCATATGAAAATACATTCCTTTATTCTTGTATAATAGTAAGGGGAAAAGTGGTCGATTTAAGGGTTCCGTTGGATTTAAATGTTCACAAGGATTTAGCAACGGAATATGGTAGTTAGAACCCCTACGAACATAATTAGACTTGTCACCAATTTTGTATCTCGACAGAAACACCACTTTTTACCACTTTTTACCACCTTTGTACCACCTTTCTAGTTTGCCAAATATCTTTAGTTGTGAACGTCGTAGAAGGCTGGAAATTAACCTAGAATGTTTATCTTATCAAGGAGTAAAACTTTTGTACGAAAAATTTGTACATTGGACAATCAGCTAATTGGATAATTACTAATTAGTTAATTACCAAAAAAAGTGAAAATTTTTTATTGGCTCAAAATGATTAAAATCGTTTGAAACACGGAGAAATGTAGTTTTTAGAAAAACTTCAAAACTTTTTCACTTACAAATTTTTTTTGAGACTTGGAAAAATTTCGAAAATTTGAAAAAAAAAATTTCCGCCAAAAGTGATCGAATTGCATAAAACGTGGATAAAAATGCTTTGCAGAAAAACTTCGAACATTTTTAGATTGGGGAATACTAAAAACAAAAGGACCGTTTAAGATCGAACCGATTTTACCTGCTGTATACTATCATTTTATTGATTTCAATGATCAAAACCTCTCTGTACCGTCAATCTTGCCAATCTACACCGGGTATCTGAATGTACCGGACCTCATCTTTGCCTCTATAATAATTAGACCCAGTTGTGCAAGAAATGCGATTTCTCACAGGGGCTTCTTTTAACTGTGCACCTTTTGTCACTCTCGCAAGAGGCCTGGAATAATTATAGGGGGTATAGGAAGTGTAAATATACCTTCCATCATCCACTGTGGCTTTTTTGTGTTGTGAATGCACATGCCGCTTCGTTTGCTATGCAAGATACCTCGAATAACCCCCATATGTCATTGCCAGGGTCGGGATAGAGCTGGAGATAGCATTGAGAGTTGCTAGAAATAACTAGACTTAGAATAAAGTCTAGCTATCAGATTATGATGAAAGGCTGTTAAGCTTAGGGGTTAAGCTTAGGGGTAGGCGACAATTGACCCCCCGACAATTGACCCCCGACAATTGACCTCCGACAATTGACCCCCGGAAATATAATTTAATACAATTAATCCTGACCCTGACCCTGACCCTGACCCTGACCCTGACCCTGACCCTGACCCTGACCCTGACCCTGACCCTGACCCTGACCCTGACCCTGACCCTGACCCTGACCCTGACCCTGACCCTGACCCTGACCCTGACCCTGACCCTGACCCTGACCCTGACCCTGACCCTGACCCTGACCCTGACCCTGACCCTGACCCTGACCCTGACCCTGACCCTGACCCTGACCCTGACCCTGACCCTGACCCTGACCCTGACCCAGGACCCTGACCCTAACCCGATCAATTGACTCCAGTGTAATTACATGGGGGGTCAATTGTCGTACTAAGCCCTAGATTTTGCGACATTTGACGCCAGTGTAATTACATAGGGGGTCAATTGTCGGGGGATCAATTGTTAGGGGGTCAATTGTCGCGGTACAAAGCTCAGGACGGTGATCTTGATAGGTCGGATAGCTGTACCTGATTGGTTCCAGCCCACCGTGTCGCTTGGAATTAAGTCATCACCCCACCTCTTCCAAAAATGCGGTTACCAGAGCAGGAAACTCTTCTTCCTCCTCTTCTTTCAACCCAAACACAATCAGGTTCCTGCTCCTCTCCTCCTCTGCAGCCAGAAATCTTATCTCCTTCTTCGGCGTTTTACTGTTGCAGACTGTATCACTTGCACTGTTCTTTTGCAGTACTCCTGCACTGTTACACTGTAGCTCTGTGTCCCTGACTCCACCGTGGTTTGCACTGCCCCTAAACTGCAATCTTAAGTAACTTTAGTTCCGGCACTCTTTGGCCATTAAAATAACCAACTCCAATGAAACCCCGTGTAGCTACGTTCTGCTACCTCCATGCTAGCACCACCCAGCTACCACCAGTTTATTCTAAGTCTAGCTATTTCTAGCAACCTCTCAATGCTATCTCCAGCTCTATCCCGACCCTGGCAATGACATATGGGGGTTATTCGAGGTATCTTGCATAGCAAACGAAGCGGCATGTGCATTCACAACACAAAAAAGCCACAGTGGATGATGGAAGGTATATTTACACTTCCTATACCCCCCTATAATTATACCAGGCCTCTTGCGAGAGTGACAAAAGGTGCACAGTTAAAAGAAGCCCCTGTGAGAAATCGCATTTCTTGCACAACTGGGTCTAATTATTATAGAGGCAAAGAAGAGGTCCGGTACATTCAGATACCCGGTGTAGATTGGCAAGATTGACGGTACAGAGAGGTTTTGATCATTGAAATCAATAAAATGATAGTATACAGCAGGTAAAATCGGTTCGATCTTAAACGGTCCTTTTGTGCTGTTTCTTTATGTGGAATTTGATAAAGCTGTATTGTAATTAGTTATGAAACTCTAATATTGTGTGGTTAACGTTTTTCAGGTTCAGCCCTTTCCGCTAAGCTATTCCTAATTACTAAAATATGCCGAGATTTACTGAACTCCAACTTCAAATATTGATGATTTTAGTATTCCCCAATCTAAAAAGGTTCGAAGTTTTTCTGCAAAGCATTTTTATCCACGTTTCATGCAATTCGATCACTTTTGGCGGAAAAATTTTTTTTCAAATTTTCGAAATTTTTCCAAGTCTCGAAAAAAATTTGTAAGTGAAAAAGTTTTGAAGTTTTTCTAAAAACTACATTTCTCCGTGTTTCAAACGATTTTAATCATTTTTAGCCAATAAAAATTTTTCACTTTTTTTGGTAATTAACTAATTGGTAATTATCCAATTAGCTGATTGTCCAATGTAAAAATTTTTCTTATAAAAGTTTTACTCCTTGATAAGATAAACATTCTAGGTTAATTTCCAGCCTTCTACGACGTTCACAACTAAAGATATTCGGCAAACCAGAAAGGTGGTACAAAGGTGGTAAAAAGTGGTAAAAAGTGGTGTTTCTGTCGAGATACAAAATTGGTGACAAGTCTAATTATGTTCGTAGGGGTTTTAACTACCATATTCCGTTGCTAAATCCTTGTGAACATTTAAATCCAACGGAATGCCACTTTTCCCCTTACTATAAAGAAATATGCCGATTTTTAATTGTGTCCATATCGGGTTTCAAACAAGTCAAAACAAAATAGCAGTTTGTGGTTTAGTTAGCGGATGCTACTTATCTTAGCTATTTATAAATAGAAATACCTACTACAACTACAAGAAAGCCTTTCTGAGTTACATTTAACTATTAAAGAGAATTATTCGTAACTTAGACTAATTCAGTGCAACCAAAGATACCGCTCTCGCAAACGCCAAAGGTAAAACGACGTAAGTAAAACAGAACAGGACAAAATGTTGACACGAGCGAAGGGTGTGCGCGCACGCACGTTGGTCTTACACATAATTGACGTCACAGCCCAAAATTGCTATCAGCCAATAGGAGCGCGGCGTGATATTGCACGAATTATCGATTTCACAGTCCGGCGTATTTTTTGATTCTACACACTTTCACAGGACTTAAACGCGAATATTTGAAAGTAAATTCTAAGGTCCCCTCATCCTTTAAGTGTCACTTAATATCAGAGTTTTAAACATAATTTATTATTATTATTATTTCACAAACTGTTAAAACAAAAATTTTTCACAGTACATGCACATTGAACTTTTGAAAGAGGGGTAAGCCTGCCACGAACAGAGGGGTAAAAGCTATGTCAAATGAGTTATTATCTGAGAATCCCTGCAGGTTCCGCTAGATAAGATCCTGGCGGAGGTTAACCAGGCCGGATCTCGACCTGATCCATTTGATGAGGACGAAGTTATGGAGTGTATAAACAGGATGATGGAGCAAAACCAGGTTTATTTGGATATGGGTACCAGAGCTGTCTTTCTTATCTAGATAATATCTTGTTACTACTATCTAAGTAAGATTCTTCTAAGTAAGAACGGTTTTTCTTCACAACATCAGATACGATTGCATCGTATGTAATGCTTCAATTCCATATGGACGTAAGTAGTGGATAATATTTCTGTGATATTGGCATATCAGTTATTGTCTTTTTCCTCATTAACTATCACATTTTATGGAATTTCATCGTATTTTTATTTGATAGGTATGCTAAACTTAGTTTTATGATGACGTGTCCAACGTTTTTAGGATTGTTTTTAATCTTTTTAGCTTTTTAATCTCACCCAACAAGTTGATAATAGTTTAAATTATTCACCTTACATCTTTTGGGCCAGTTAAGGTACTCCAGTGAAAAAATGAAGAATCTTTTTACGTTTTAAATATCAGCCTTGTGTTTGTTCCTTGTTAGCCCTACGACTTGCAATGAAAGCTGTTCCACAATTTACAACTTTATTAAAAGTTTATGGAAATTTAATGATGATATTTTAATGAAACTTATTTGAATATTCGATGACATGTTTATTGTTCAAGTGATGAACAACAATAATATAACCGTATTTGTAATGCATTTCAACGAAATATTGTTACCTTAAATGAATTTCACTATTAGCTATATTTCTCCAGAAAACAAATATGCTTTGTCCACAATATCTAATTATTGTTAAAATGTATTACACGCAAAATGTTTAATTTAACTAAATCAATTAGTAAACGAAATAAAATCAATGAATGGAAGGAATTATATTTAATATTGTTGGAGCTGACGTGATATTATTCAAAGGAAGGTATGGCGGTGCGTGAAGCAGCAGTTGACTTGATAAACTACATCAACCGGTCACCATCTCCCTACCATGCAGTTGCTGAAGCGATAAAGGTCCTCAAGAAGGTTGGCTACCAGCGCCTGGATGAATCAGCTGACTGGAAACTTACTCCTGGAGGAATGTACTACATGACAAGAAATGCAAGCACGCTCATCGCGTTTGCACTTGGTGAGAAGTTCGCCGCGGGTAACCCCTGTCAGCTGATCGGCGCGCACACCGACTCTCCATGTCTACGTGTGAAGCAGCGCAGCAAGCACACTAGTGTTGGATACAGCCTGGTAAAGAGTGAGTGTTACGGAGGTGGTATCTGGGCTACCTGGTTCGACAGGGACCTCAAGTTAGCCGGGAAAGTGATAGTTAAAGGGGAGAATAACGCTCTAACCTCCCGTCTAGCGCACATTGACCGCCCTATCCTACATATCCCTACACTGGCAATACATCTTGATCGTACAGTGAATGAAGCGTTCAAGTTTAACAAGGAAGAGCAGCTAATCCCAGTACTGGGGCTGATAGAGAAGGAACTGGGAGGAGAGGTGGAGAAGAAGGTGACAGGTGTAGAAAAACAGCAGCAATCCTTCACTAAACATCACGACACAAAGTTACTGAAGCTGCTCTCAGAGCATCTGGGTTGTGCTGGTGATGATATTATAGGGTTTGATCTGTGTCTTGCTGATGTTATGCCAGGTAGTTTGGCTGGAGTAGATGAGGAGTTCGTGATGGCGCCCAGGCAGGATAACCTTGTTAACGCATGGGCTGGAACACATGCACTTGCAAAACACAGTGTATCCGGGTCCAGTACCGCTGCGGTCCTGTGTTTGTATGACCACGAGGAGGTGGGATCGCAGTCTGCGCACGGCGCTGGTACTGAACTCACCAACTTAGTGCTACAGCGCTTGAGTGGAAACAACTCCGAGCTTCTTGCTAAGTGCATCGCCAAATCCTTCCTTCTGTCTGCTGATCAAGTACACGCTGTACATCCCAATTACGTGTCCAAACACGAGTCTAACTTCCAGCCTGCAGTGAACGGAGGAATCTGCATGAAGCACAACTCTAACCAGCGCTACGCAACCACTGCAATGGGTGCCGCCCTCCTGCGCGAGCTTGCTCTCCGCAACGATATCCCCCTCCAGGAGGTGATGGTGCGCAATGATTCACCATGTGGGTCTACCATTGGTCCAATCATGTCCGCTAAGACTGCTCTGAGAACGGTGGATTTGGGATGTCCTCAATTGAGTATGCACTCTATTCGTGAGATGGGAGGTGCTAAGGACCCCTATCATGCTGTGCGTCTGTACAAAGCTTTCTACGAGCAGTTTGCTGGTATTGATGCTGCATCTACTGATGAAACCTGCGACGAAACCTTTATTTAAATTTTAAGCTGATCTATTTTCATTTTCAGTTGTACGTTTATCCCAATAATATTGATTTATCATGTGCTATTTGATTTTTAGGGTTTTTTTGTGTTAGGGAGACCCGAAATTTACTGTGTAATCTTCTGTAACTTGAAGCTCCCATTAATGATGAAAGTTATTGAGAAAAAAGATTACGGTTATAATGTATTATAATTTTACTTCTCCTAAGATGTAAAGTACCAACATCTTTCATGACATCATTTTTTCGCTCAGTTGCATAAAAGATGTTGATCGTGTATAATTGATGTTTGATTTTGTATAATCAATGTGTGATTACATAAGTTCCTTTGTTGTATTCGTTATGTTTTATCACAAGGAAACAAATCAAAATCGCGGGAAACTTGACAGAGGGCGCGGTCGCCGAACGTTGATTTCCTAACGCGACTGTAAACTACTTACCATTTAGTTTAAATCACAAAGCGCGCGCGCGCGCTTGGTACGTGAGTTTTCCTGTAGCTTAGCGCGTGGTTTAAGCAAATTACTGCGCGCAACCACGGTCTCCCCTCCGATTTCGATGTTGGTTTCATGCTAATTTACGATATTAAGTCTATACAATTTTGAATAACCTTCATCAACATGTAGGGTATAGTATGTTGTCGGGAGAAGTCACATTGGAGAATGGGACACACACAGTGTACTCAGTCACTGTGAGTGAGCTGAACGACAATAATGGAGTCACGCCGCTGGACATCCAAGGTATAGTCACATTCTGTTTATTTAGACACATCTCAAGTCACCACACTTATTTTTTCTCCTGTAGACACGAAAGATTCTATCATGCAATAAGTAATATCTAAGTTTGCGTCGTGAAACCTAAGCTGACCCTCACGTCACTTCTTGACTTTATAGTAGCTTGCACACTTGGCTCGTACTATTTTGATTATCTATAATGTTCTATCAACCCCCAGGGTTGAGCATAACAAGTGTAAAAGACAAAGTTATCCTGACTTTCTTCGACAAAGGGACAGAAGTTGAACAGTTTACCGTGACCCACAACACCGAACACTGTTCTTGTGGCAAACTTTCCTGGATTATCAGATTCCAGGAGAAAACTTTCATGGTCAGATTCGCTAACGAGAAATGTGAGTTTTGAATTTGTCAGCATTTGTGTGGAACTGAAAATGGTTGTTCATTTTTAATAGCTTCTTGCACTTTATAGTTATGATACATAAGGCGTCGTAGAAACGTAAACGTTGCTAAATATTCATAAACTTGCATAGTTGAAATTTTTAAAATCTTTATGTGACTGCTGCCATCTCAGCGGTACAAGAATGTAAGGATGTGCTGGCCGAGCTGCAGAAGATTGAGAAACGGTCCAAGTTCAAGGATAGGACCGAGGAGAGTTCAGCAACACAGTACTTTCAGGTATTATACTTATTATTACTTTCAAGTATTATACTTATTATTACTTTCAGGTAATTAGTTATCATTACATCGTTGTTTTACTACACAGAATCTTTAGTACAATCCAAGGCCAGGCGTTGCTATACTGCAACTGATTAACGTTTTACATACTTATTCATTTACTAACTTACTTAATAATTTTGACAGAGCATTGACTGATAACCAGCATTATCAATGTTATAATAAGTACTGACATGACAAGACGTATATTAAACTGTTTAACCAATAATCTGCTTTCAGTTTTACGGGTATTTGTCACAACAGCAGAACATGTTGCAAGACTATGTTAGGACAAGTACATTCCAGAGGGCTATCCTGGACAACCACGGCGACTTCCAGGGCAAGGTACAACTTCTGACCAGATAAGATGATATGCAGCATGCTAATTATTTAATTGCTTCCGTACAAATTGAAGACTTATCATCAGTTCAGGCATTGTTTCAGTAAGATAAACGTGTTAGTGGACTCTAAGATTTACCAGAAATGAAACAGGACCATATTATTTTCGTCTAATGGATTTTTGCTGCGTAGTGGCGTACGATCTATGAGATCACGTACGAATAATATGAATATCTAGACTATATAATTTTAAGATACAAATACACGAAAACTTTTAAGAATAAGGCACTTAGTAAAAACATTCATCGTCGATGTACTCCATAGTAGCCCTATATTAAGCTAGTGTTTGTTGGTCGCAGTATGGGATTAATGAATGGGAATTGCCTTACCGAAGAAAAAAAGAAAAAAGGAGGACACTTGTATTGTACATTGATTAACAGGGGGGAATACCTGTATTGTAAATAGTACTGTACGTTGTACTGTACTTTACATTGATTAATCCATCAGATAGTGCTAGATGTCGGAGCAGGATCTGGTATCCTGTCCTTCTTCGCAGTGCAAGCCGGAGCTAAGCACGTGTACGCAGTTGAAGGCAGCAACATGGCGGACCACTGTCGGGACCTGATCAAGAACAACAAGTATCAAGATAAGATAACTGTGATACATGGCATGATAGAAGAGGTGGAGCTGCCTGAGGAGGTCGACACTATTGTATCAGGTTAGAAATATTACTCTATTATGTACATGGTGTCTCATACTGGAGGGGTTTAGTATTTTATTAACAAATTTTACGACGAGACAGTGTAATTGTTAATTCTTTATCCTACGATGACGGGGGAATGATTGTTTATATTGTGGATCTGTCGGCTTCTTTATTTACATTAATCACTCGTATATTTCAATTAAATTTCCCATGGAATATTCTTGGAAAAATATTTCTTTTTACTTTGATGGTCAGAGAAGTAATCATAAACCTATTAATTAATTCCAACTCTTACCCTCGCTAGAGCCTATGGGGTATATGTTGTACAACGAGAGGATGTTAGAGACATACATCTACGCTAGGAAGTGGTTGAAGAAAGGTGGCAAGATGTTCCCTTCTACTGGCACCCTTTATTTGGCTCCCTTCTCCGATGAGAGTCTTTTCCAGGTCCGTGTATAAAAAAGGCGGTTCATTTTTAATTTGTAAGTCTATATGTTTTTTTAGCAACATAACAAAATAAAAGGGGCCACGTGAAAAGATTCGTGAGTATGAATGAACAGTAAAATTTCTGTGTCTACAGATACTATAACTACTCTGAAGTTCCTAATCCTATATATTATGACTTCTTTCGTGTCGAACATTAACAATAAATATCTGAAAAGTGCATGAAAATGCTTGTCCCTCAGGAAGTGTGTAACAAAGCTAACTTCTGGTACCAGACCTTCTTCTACGGCGTGGACCTGTCCAACCTGAGAGAGGAGGCCTACACCGAGTACTTCAAACAGCCTATAGTAGACACGTTCGACCCCCGACACTTGGTGGCCAAGCCCATCAAACATACCACCAACTTCATGACGGATACCGAGGACAGCTTGAGAGATATCCACATAGACTTCACTTTTTATCCTCATTCCGCTGCCCAGGTTGGTTGGGTTGTAGGGACCATTCAAATCTTGTAATAAACTTATAGTCGATACTCAATACCGTATAATATGTACAATAACTGTAAATTAAATGTCTAGTTATCGATAGCCTCATCTGGCACAGGCCACAGCACAACTGTTACATTTTTAAAAGATTGACACGTGCCCCTCCCCCAGGTGCATGGTATTGCGTTCTGGTTTGATGTAGCGTTCGAGGGATCTCAGAAAACCGTGCATTTGAGTACCTCCCCCAGCGAGCCGCTCACTCATTGGTATCAGGTAATTTTACTCGTTACTTTTAGCGATTTCTAGTTCTGTGCGTTTCCTTGCTCATTAAAATAATGCTACGTATACACCCATTTGGAATCTTTACCGTAAAGGGGGGGGTGTCACGTCCGTCTATGTCCGCTTGTCTCATAGAATCCAAAAAGGACAGGACATAGGCGGACATAGACGGACATAGGCGGACATAGGCGGACATAGACGGACATAGGCGGACATTGGCGGACATAGACGGACATATACGGACTTTAGCGGACATTAATGGACACCTAAATTGCTAAATAAAATGTTGTTATATCATGTTTTTTGTCCGTTCGGTACCCTATATTTTCAAAACGGACAAAAAATAGAGCGGACAAAAACAGACAAAAATGGACAAAAACGGACTAAAATGGAAATAACATTAAGATGCTTCCTCCTCCTACTCTTCCTCCTCTTCCTCCTCCTCCTCCTAGGTCTTCCTGATCTTCCTCAGTCCTCTTCCTCCTCCCCTCCTCAGTCCTCCTCCTACTCCTACTCCTCCTCCTCGTCCTCAGTCCTCCTTATCAGTCCTCAACAGTCCTCCTCCTCCCCAGTCCTCCTCCTCCTCCTCCTGAGTCCTCCTCCTGGGTCCTCCTCCTGGGTCCTCCTGCTCCCCTTCATCCTCCTTCTCTTCCTCCTCAGTCCTCAGTCCTCCTCAGTCCTCCTCCTCATCCTTCTCCTCAGTCCTCCATCCTCCTCCTCAGTCCTCCCCCAGTCCCCCTCCTACTCCTCCTATTCAGTTCTCCTCCTCCTTCTCCTCCTCAGTCCTCCTCCTTCTCAGTCCTCCTCAGTCCTCCTCCTACTCCTCCTATTCAGTTCTCCTCCTCCTTCTCCTCCTCAGTCCTCCCCCAGTCCCCCTCCTACTCCTCCTATTCAGTTCTCCTCCTCCTTCTCCTCCTCAGTCCTCCTCCTTCTCAGTCCTCCTCAGTCCTCCTCATCCTCCTCCTCAGTCCTCCTCCTCCTCCTCCTCCTCCTCCTCTTCCCTCTCAGTCATCCTCCTCAGCCATCCTCCTCAGTCCTCCTCCTCCTGGGTCCTCCTCCTCCTCTTCATCCTCCTCCTCTTCCTCCTCGGTCCTCAGTCCTCCTCATCATGCTTCTCATCAGTCCTCCTCCTCCTCATTCCTCTCCCAGTCCCCCTCCTTCTCCTCCTCCTATTCAGTCCTCCTCCTCCTCCTCCTCCTCAGTTCTCCTCCTTCTCCTCCTCCCTCTCAGTCATCCTCCTCATTCATCCTCCTCAGCCATCCTCCTCAGCCATCCTCCTCAGTACTCCTCAGTCCTCCTCCTTCTCAGTCATCGTCAGTCCTCCTCATCATGCTTCTCATCAGTCCTCCTCCTCCTCAGTCCTCTCCCAGTCCCCCTCCTTCTCCTCCTCCTATTCAGTCCTCCTCCTCCTCCTCCTCCTCCTCAGTTCTCCTCCTTCTCCTCCTCCCTCTCAGTCATCCTCCTCATTCATCCTCCTCAGCCATCCTCCTCAGCCATCCTCCTCAGTACTCCTCAGTCCTCCTCCTTCTCAGTCATCGTCAGTCCTCCTCCTCAGTCCTCCTCAGTCCTCCTCCTCCTCCTGGGTCCTCCTCCTCCTCCTCCTCCTGGGTCCTCCTCCTGGGTCTTCCTGATCCTCCCCAGTCCTCTTCCTCCTCCCCTCCTCAGTCCTCCTCCTACTCCTCCTCCTCGTTCTCAGTTCTCCTCATCAGTCCTCAACAGTCCTCCTCCTCCCCAGTCCTCCTCCTCCTCCTGGGGCCTTTTCCTGGGTCCTCCTCCTCCTGGGTCCTCCTCCTCCTGGGTCCTCCTTCTCCTCCTCAGTCCTTCTCCTCCTCCTCCTCAGTTCTCTTCCTCCTCCTCCTCCCTCTCAGTCATCCTCCTCAGCCATCCTCCTCAGCCATCCTCCTCAGTCCTCCTCCTTCTCAGTCCTCCTCCTGAGTCCTCCTCCTCCTGAGTCCTCCTCCTCCTGAGTCATCCTCCTCAGTTCTCCTCCTCCTCCTCCTAGGTCCTCCTTCTGGGTCCTCCTCCTCCTCCTGGGTCTTCCTGATCCTCCTCCTCCCTCTCAGTCATCCTCCTCAGTCATCATTCTCAGTCATCCTCCTCAGCCATCCTCCTCAGCCATCCTCCTCAGCCATCCTCCTCAGTACTCAACAGTCCTCCACCTTCTCAGTCCTCCTCAGTCCTCCTCCTGAGTCCTCCTCCTTCTGAGTCATCCTCCTCAGTCCTCCTCCTCCTCCTGGGTCCTCCTCCTGGGTCTTCCTCCTGGGTCTTCCTGAGTCCTCTTCAGTCCTCTTCCTCCTCCCCTCCTCAGTTCTCCTCCTACTCCTCCTCCTCGTCCTCAGTCCTCCTCATCAGTCCTCAACAGTCCTCCTCCTCCCCAGTCCTCCTCCTCCTCCTCCTCCTCCTCCTCCTGGGGCCTTTTCCTGGGTCCCTATATAATTTGATAAAATAAGTTAAAACTATTAATAGCTTTAGTGTGATTAATAAGTTATATTCCCTATACTTCGGTAAATAGGTACTGTGCCTACTGTGTACCCTGTGTAACTGTTTCAAAGATATGTTGACGACACAAATAGATTTGGATTTAGCGGCCGGATTTGGTGACTGGATTTAATTAAATATTGGGAATATTTGTGAGATCTTTATTCTTTAGACCTCTTATATGTCCGCTAATGTCCACCAATGTCCGTCCGAGTCCGCCAATGTCCGTCCGGGTCCGCAAATGTCCGTCCGAGTCCGCCAATGTCCGTCCGAGTCCGCCAATGTCCGTCCGTGTCCGCCAATGTCCGTCCGTGTCCGCCAATGTCCCAAAAAACACGTCCGTTGTCTCATAGAATCCAAAAAGGACAGGACATAGGCGGACATAGACGGACGTGACACCCCCCCCCCCCGTAAATAATACGGCTGAGTGTAAATATCTCCCTCACTGGGAACGGGTATTCTAACAACATCTTCAATAGATTGAGGCACAAGTCTCTGTGTTAAGTCAATACCCTTTATATGCACACACTTTGTTAATGAGTCGGCCTAACATGAGGTTAAAGTGTAGATAATCCTAAAATAAACCCAGGTACGATGTTTGATCGGGACACCGCTGTTTGCCAGACCTGGACAGCCTATTATCGGCTCTGTTACTCTCACCTCCAACAAACGTCAGAGTTACGATGTCAAACTCAAGGTTCCTTTTTACGATATTTCCTTGTGTTTAGATGTCTCAATTCCGGATCAGGGAAAAAACCGAGTTATTCCTCTGTTTTTACCATGCATTATTAATATCATAAGCTGAACAACACACGAGTAGTGTAGTCACGGCGGTATCTGTTTAAAATCAATTTTTACCGGTTTTTACGCTCAATTCAGAGCGAAGTGAGCTGTCAAGTTTTCGACCGTTAACTTAAACAATCCTCAGATGCACCTAGCGGGAAGTAGTGAGACTATAACGAACTTGTTAGACCTAAAGAACCCTTACTTCCGCTACACTGGCTCAGTCCCCGTTCCCCCTGGCAACCAGACAACCTCCCCCTCTGATAACTATTGGGAGAACATCACCACTTCCGCTACTCGTCAGTGTTTTATTTAGCGGCTTATTTGTTGTACTTAGTTACCTAATATGTTAATTAATATGCACTCAGCTGATCAGTTGATTGGTTAGTGAGAAGAACTAGAGCTGCGCATTGTGCTGCGTGCTGCGCATTGTGCTGCGTGCTGCGTGCTGAGCAGACAAACTGTTCTCAGGGATAGTTATAGGAGAGCAGAATGCCACCATCCGTTCGATATACGCTGATTTTGTCGATTGTTGAAAAATGATCAGATTCAAAAATTTGTGTTTACATTCTTCATACGAAAAAACTATTACTGATAGATAATTTCAAAAGTTTTAACATCAAATGGGAAGTCTTCTCCTCATCATCCTCCTTCGCCTCTTTTTTCTTCTCCTTGTTCGTCTCCTCCCCTCTTGATCCTCCTCTTGCTTTGCTCCTGATCCTCATGAGCTGAAGCTGTGTATCGCATAGTGCTGATATACGCTGATTTTGTCGATTTATTCATTGAGAAAAAATAAACCAAATTCAAAAACATCATATGGGGAGCTGAGTCTCCCCCTCCTGTCCCTCCACACCTCTTTCTCCTCCTCCTTCACCAGCACCCCTCCTCCCCTTCTTCCTTCCTCCCCTCCTCCTCCTCCTCCTCCTCCTTGCAGAACGGCTCCTCTCAGTCACCATTTACCAACGTCATGGTTAACAGATTTATGAGTATTTATGACTTTAAATCTCCTCTATTATGGCCGCACAGTTTACATGGGCAATCCAGTTCAAAAATAGAGCTTAGCTATCACGACTGGTGGGAATATCATAAATGTTTATTTTTACACGTGAGAGTGATATGACGAAAATTTGATTTGATTGGTCGATGTTGAAACTGATCTGTTAACCTCTGCCAAAAGTTAAGATGTCACAGCTTCTCGAGGAAAGAAGGAGACGAATCTTGATTAGAGGTCGCGTTTCATTAATTGTGGTTAAAAACTGTAGTTTTGCAGATATTGATAATTTATTATTTATAGTGTAGTTTAGTGCTTATAGATTAAAGTGCGAACCCTATCATCCTATACGCCTCACTTCAGTTGAAGATATGTCTCCAGGATATAGAGTATAGACTATGAACAATGATCACCAACTTGAATTCTCCAAATACTGCAAGTATTTAGTATAATTATGTATTTAAACTCCCAATACCACAAGTATTGGAAATAAAATTATGTATTTAAACTCTCGATATCACAAGTATTTAAAATACTTATAAAAGTAATCATGTACTTAGGCGTTGCTTTTTTAATGATTTTATTTTACCGGTGTGTGGCCTCTGCTCTCCTATCATCGTTTACTATGCCTAACCACCGCAACGGAAAGCGGCAGGGAATGTTTATATTTAACGCGTACCAGACGTTTTGCACCCTACGTTTTGTCTCCGGACGTCAGGCCCTTTAGGGTTTTACGACTTTTAGTGATCAAGTTTTGATGCACATCCAAAGGACGTAGCAAGGGACAAAAGCTTAAATATTAATTAACGAACATGTTCGTTACAATTATCATTTCAGCGCTGACACAGCCACAGGTTTACAACGGAGCCGCTGGAGCTGGAGCGTACAATCAGACCTACACTAAAGGATACCCGACCAGCCCCAACCCTTACACGCCCATTTATGAGGAGGGTTACAACTAGCTCCTTGTTTTATGTCGACCATTTAAATATTATTATAATCCGTGTGTGACAATGTTTGAAAAAGGATTATCCTCTGTGTTGAAAATTACCAGCAGGCTCTATTCTTTTTTTGGTTTTGTCACCCCTGGTAGAATCTTCAAGAATATATTCTGTCAGTTTTATCATACCACGAGACTTTAAAATGATTATCACGTGACGGGTTTCTGTCACAGTCTCGTAATTTCTTTACAGACAATTGATTCACACTTAAAACAGAGCAACTTCTTTAGTTTTATAAAACGGATGTTTTCTTAATTTATTATAAATATATGATATACACTAATTTTACCTTGATTTTCTCGATGGGTTGAATGGTTTTACCGACGTTACGATGTTGATTGTCCATGTTGGAATATTTGAGAGTGATAATTGGGATATATCATTATAATGGTTTTGAAAGTTTGAGAGTTACTATTATTTCTCAAACCTCTTCTACCGTGTACTGCTCCCGATCGTCAAAACCCTCTTATGACAAATTTAAACTAACTTAAGAGCTGGATTATAGAGGATGAATATGTTGTTTGGCTGTATCTGCATGCTGATTGGGTAACTCCCTCGGGATCTCTTACTAATTAACCTTATAACTTGATCGCATCTTGACATGTATGTTTGTGGGAATAGTAGCGGAGCTTGATGTCATTAATTTGTTAACAGTCTCAAATCCTTCAAAGTATAAGAAATGATCACGTGGCACGGTTGTATGTCACCTATTCTCACGATTGTGTCACGTGTTATGAGAGTGCTTTGTTAGAACGGCGTTGAAGAGCAATGTCGTTGCCTCTGCAATAGTCTCATCATTTGACCAATAACAAGGCTAGTTGAGGGTGATGTCTGACAAGCCCTGTTATAGGCATAGTGATGTGATCTGATTCATACTGGTGCGGTGGCGACGCGACTGCTATACTTAAAAATTAAATCTGGGTTCTACAAAGTTGGGTATTGGTAGGGAGGTGAGCTATATTTGTTTTGACAGTCTCTTATTTATAAGCGACCAATTAAATACGTGTCAAAACAGATATGACCTATCTCCCCGCAAGTATCCAAGTTTATACAGCCGGATGTTAGAGGTTTGATATGAACGCTTAATTCAGAGGAATTGTCTGAGTCGCGATTCAAAGCTTGTTGGTAAATTCACTCGCGAGTTTATCGAAAAAAAATCGGTATATATTTATTTTATTCTTTTAAAATTGGATGATCGAACTCGCTTTTAAAATGTTTATTTAATTTTATTAGTCTAACATGACTGTTTCAATTGTTCGATTGCTATTTTCAATGCATGTGATATTTAAAAAAATGTTTGATCTGCAATCACCCGAAAAAGATGCAACGCGAACGTGTGATTAACGGGTGATACTCTTAAAATACTTGTTCCAAATAATATAAACCGTCGACGGGCGTGCGTCTTGCTCATTGGTAGGTTATTTACTGGGCGGTGCTCAGCCTGTCATTCCGCCTTACCTGAGGACCCCAGGCGGCAGGCTATTATATTTATGATCATCCGAATATGAATAGAGATTAGGCGGAATGACAGGCTGATCAGTGCCGCCCAGTAAATTTAGCCTAATCTCCATTCGGAACATTATAGCACCGGGTCCCCAGTACAGGTAAGGTTCAAAAAGCTGACAGACACTTTGGTCATTATCTTTGCCAGTATAACTATACTAGTCATAAATATGAAAATTTGTTCCACTATAACCTAGATTGATTCACGATGTCAATCCTTCGCAGCTCGGCGAGGCCCAGTGGTGCATTTCGCCGATCTACCGGTTGCGAGAAGAATTATTTGATGCGCGGCGCGGCCCAGTAGTGCATCGCGCTACAATATAACAAATATAAAAAATGCTAAAACATTTGATTGTGTATTGTTTCACTCAGAAACCAACATTTTAAAAAACAGGGCCTCCTTCATATAATTAGTATTGGTTTTAAACATTTTTATGGACCTTATTTTTATTTAGCCAGAACTAGCCTCTTTTAACAATTTTTGATTTTTATGCAGCTTAAGCTGAAGGTTGCATGTAGCGCGCGTAATACACTACTGGGCCACGCCGCACATCAAAAATTAGGCGTTCAGCATGTTCAGAGAAAACAATATAGGTGTTTTAATATGATTTGATTTGAAACTTTTACAAAATAGCAAATATACAAATGTACAGCAAATCGAACATATTGAATGGGCGTGGTCTAAAATATTCGAATTTTCAAATTTTGACGACGGAATCCTCGAACCAGTAAATACAGTATGCCATCTGCAAAGCAACAGCTCTCAAATATAAAACACGGCGGGGCTTTAAGGCCAACGTATGGGTACTGACTTTTGGCCCACCCTGTATATTGTTTGATTGATTCACGATGTCAATCCTTCGCAGCTCGGTGAGGCACAGTGTTGCATCTCGCCGATCTACCGAAGCATTATTTGATGCGCGCGCGACCCAGTAGTGCATCGCGCTACAAATTGTTTGAATGACCTTGGAGTATTATATAATTAAATAGCCTACAAGATTAGCCTTGCTAAAAGTCGCCTGAAAAAGGCACTTCTAAAGCTGCAACATGCTTATATAAGCATGTTGCAGCTTTAGAAGTGCCTTTTTCAGTTATAATGATTCAGCATGGACCTCAAGCGATTATGACATAATACAGCTATCATTTGAAAACAATCCGCTTCATCAAATTTAATCCAGTGTTCTCGGCCCACAGGTTCCTCCTATTAAAAAATTTTTTTAATATTTAATTTAAGAGGATTTTTGAAATTTTTATAGGACTGGTTCACAGTGTGAACAGATTCCATATTTGTATATTTTTAAACTGATATTTAATAAATGATTAAAAGAGCCAATTTTAAAGTTGCCATACAAAAAACCTTTAGGTCCAAAAATATACCCATTATGCTCACTTAAAAACAACTCTAAATTATATAAGTAGGCTGTCACTCTATTAATGCACCACACCGCTACCTCCACTGCACTAAAAGTTATACAATAAATTCTACAATCCTAATTTTGTATCGTGATGGAGACCGGTGTCCATACAAAACATTTACTAGGTTGCCGTTTGGTGTGAGCAATAGCGAACAGCACGCACACTCCTTTGCCCCGTCAACCTTTATCTAATCTATTTAAAGAGTGACAACCATACTACACATTGAATTAGGATTCCTTTAAATATCAAATTGATTTATTGTAAACTTGTTTACTCTGTAATAAATGGCATAAAATTGAATTTTTGTTTAACTGAATAAAATGTTTAAGCTAGCTAAATTTCAGAATATTCTTTTACAGCTCTTTTAATACATCCTACTACAAAATCACTTTGTTTATGACCATAGTTTCCAAAAGGCTTGTGAAGAGGGATAGGTGATCCATTCCTGGTAAATGGTAATGTGCTTATTTCATTCAGATAAATTTTGTTGTCTTTGGCATTAAAAAGTATATTCTGGCCATGTCCTTTAGTTAAGGGACGGACGGAAACACTTGATATATCCATCATTTCAATACTCTTCTGATCTTCTGCTAGGTTTTGAGGGTCAACTTCTTAATGAAAACCACCGCCATATTTTGCATCGAAACTGTAAAACGTTTCAGTATACAGACACAACCCACAAGGTTTTGTGACACACAAGTCGTCCTCCATTTAGTAAACAGCCACCTGGAATTCCTTCATGTCCTCCAATTTTTCCACCAACACTCGATTTGAGTACAAAAAGGCTCCATCAATGGCTTCCATGATTTTTCCAGATTCTTCTACTTTAGTGCATCCAATAGAGCTACCTTGACTCAATGGCTTCACAAACACTCCACCTCATCTATCAAGAGCAGCCAACGCTTTGTTGTAATTATCTTCATTCAGTACCTGTTCGGTGGTGTGCCTTTGAGGTTGACAGAGAGAAAGACCTTGGAGTGGTCTTTAACAGTGCTTTTAAATTTGATGATCACGTGAGAAAGTGCATTGCTAAAGCTAATGGTACCATTGCCTGGCTTACAAGAAATATTATATCGAAGGAAACAAGCGTTATGCTGGGCTTGTATAAGTCACTGGTAAAGCCTCATATAGAGTACTGTTCGCAGGCATGGGCTCCGATGGCAAAGCATGGTAACTGGTCACTGATCCTTGAATTGGAAGGTGTTCAGAGATCATTTACCCGTATGATCGATGGATTGGGCCTCATGACCTACAGAGAGAGACTGGATAACTTGAAGCTCACAACCTTGCTTTAACGTAGGGTCCGTGGGGATCTCATTGAGATGTTCAAGATCCAGGAAGGCTTTGTGGATTATGGGTCCGATTTATTTGGTCGTGCTGGTAGGACTGTCTCTGCTAAGTCAAAGCCACACATATTTACCACAAATGAGACTGACTTCTTTGCTCAAAGGGTCTTGCGATATTGGAACAGTCTACCACCACTTGTGAAAGCTAGTGAGTCGGTTACTGGTTTCAAGAGGGGATTAGATGCCTTTCGGCTTCATGGATATCAGGCAAATAAGCCTGGCCACTACTGGGAACTGTCATAGGACATCTTTGATAGGATAGATGTGTCTGTGTCTAATAGAATAGTTATGTAAGTTATATGAAAGAGAATCCATTGGTAGCTAAGAGGAAGAAGGTTAATATCAAAGGTATTAAGTTGAATTTTTTAAAGTTTGTAATTATATGGTTTATAAACGTAAAGTGTTCATTTTCTATGAATTTCTTTTTGAGATGCCCAGAGAGGCATTATTTATTTATAATGTTATGTTATTGTTCTTAAACAGAAATGTGTAAGGAGTATTTGGGATACCAATGCTGTCAAGCAACAGTTTGCAAGTGATTTTGTTGAAAGACAGGCTGCTTGCTTCAACTCCATATCCCATGTATAGTAAGTCTGCCAGTTCAAACAGGCCTGGCAAATGGCCCGTCTCAGTTGGAAAGCCACATGATAGTGGAATTGAATATTGGACTGGTATCAACTGCGTCTTGTCTCCACTTATCTCCAATGTACTATTCAGATTGAAACAACATTTCATATCACTTTGGTACAGACACCACTGCCCATGCCCATCTGTATGTATTTCTACTAGATGGCGTGGATGTGGGAAAACTCTCTAGCATCTTTTCAAAGTGCACAGCCACTGTCATCAGTGGCGTAACATTGCATGTTGGCACCCCACCGAAAAAGCGCCCCCATATTGTCGCCCCCTCCCCTTTTTGTGCCTCTCACTAAAATTAGAGAAATTAGGTGATTTTAGAGGATATGCTGGCAAAATCTCTAAAAAATGTGTTTCTAGAGCAAAACACGCAGTTTTGCTAGTACTGCAGTTAAGTTTTTCATAATTGCCCCACACTCAAACAACAATTTGTCGTCTCCTAAGATGCCCCCCCCCCTGCATAGCGGGGTCAGTGGGACCCTTCGTTACGCCACTGACTGTCAAAGAGACTAATAAGTTTAGTCCGCTTACATTGTGTTCAGTGAGTGTTATATTTCATCAGCTGTATCTTAGGTTAAGATAAATATTTGTTGATGTTACCACTCCTTGTGACCACGGGCATCCTAATTAAATATGAAATTAGATCTATTTTTGCCGCCATAAAGTCATGTTTTTTCACATTCCCATGCCAAAGAGTCCCGGTTTTACGACTCAGTCAAATATTATTTGACACTATGGGAATTTGAGGATTCTAACAAAAACAGAGGTCTACATTCTCTAAATTTTCTTCACTATTTCATGACATCACTAGCTATTTCTTTTCTTTAGCAAAAGCTGTCAATTCAGCAATCAAAACTAGCAAAAATGTTTTAAAATTGTACACAGTAAAATGCTGCTGAGCAAGTCTATTGAGTTCTCATTCTCCTGCTACTACAGTTCCAATCCGTAATGGTAAGCTTTCCAGAGCCAATCTTATTCTTTCATTTTAAAATGTATTACATTTTTATTCGAATTAAAATTCATAGAAAATATGTTCACTATTTCAATTAAGGGCTCCTCTCTGTTAAGAAATCAATGATTTTCAGAACCACACCGAAACATGCCGTCTATGACCAGAAGAAAACATCAGTATACAGCTTCTAAGATAGATGATACCGCATTTGATTTGGTAAGTTGTTTGGCCAGGAGAGTATTTTATAAATTCTTTGATTATACAATCCACTGGATACAAGGATACAAGGATACTTTATGATAATAATTTATTAAAGTTGAATAATATCTCAAGGATTCCTCTTGTTGTTGTAAAGACCCGTATAGAGCCACCTCTAAGGGCTTTGAGACAGTTTATTAAATATAATATAATAATCAATAATATCGAAAGTCGTTTCAAAATATTTTCAAACTCAAAGTTGAAATCACACTCACACTAAAAAGATCAATTATTTTGTCAAATAGTAAAAATAAAAAAAAAAAAAAAAAAAAAACTCTCGACACATTACAGTACGTAAGCATGATTAGCATCAGCATGCCTTTCATTTTATTTGTACCACTTAAGTCCCAGAACCTTTTATCTTTTAATTCTGCTTGCTATAGTTTGTTATAATATACGGCTATTCTAATTTCTAGAAATTTTCAAGCGTGACGATGAAAATTTTATCGCGAGAATTATCTTTAAGATTTTGTGCATTAAAAAGCCGCGCGGAGTGGGGTAAGGCTTGCTGTTATCAGCGCTTTGGCAGTGAAAAATATGCTGAAATATGTCAGTCCATTAAGCGAACGTTGTTTATTACTGCTCGTTTATTGTGTGTTTGCTGTCGTCCTATGTTATGTTATGTTATGATATGATGTCATGATTTAGCGATTATTGGTCGCTGTATTACTCAATCATCCCTCATCTATTGGACTTCCTCAAACCAGGTACGTTGTGTAGCAGAAATGCTGGCCAGCTGTCCTCTGAGTTAGCTAGTGTTGACTGTTGCTCAAGAAGCACGCGTTTTGCGTTCGATTTGTAAATTTACAAATCGAACGCAAAACCAACAAGAACATCACGTCCCTACCTAGCTTATTTTCAATAAATATTTATATTTATTGAAAATAAGCTAGGTAGGGACGTGATGTTCTTGTTGGTGTCTGTTAGAGCTAGTAAAGGTCCTTTAAAAAGATGGATGCTTTGAAACATCGGTTATTGTACGTATCTAGCCATTCGCTACTGTTCTCATGATTTGAACCATGCGTGGGTATGTTATCTGGAAACAAATTTCTAATTGATACAGGTACTGTGTTAGGAAAGTGCTTCATGCTGATTCTGGACAGAGCAGATCTAGTGCAATAATGGATATTACTCCTCTGCTACCCCGGGATTCTGGTTATCATCATGTGAGTATACTTTATAAATTCACAGAAAAAAAAACATGTTGGGAGGGAATACGTGTGTATGAATGGAAAATCATGAATTTAGGTTAAAATAGCTGAATAATTTCCTCCTTCCTTTAAAATCCATCCATTCTTTTTATGGCTTTATTCAAGTTGTAACCAGGATTGGCTAAAAATTGACGGGTTTGAATGGGGTTAATTTGGTGATGTCACTTCCTACTGATATGATAGCATACTCTAAGTTTTGCTCGTTTTGAATGTCCACAGCCTAATGCAGTAATAAAGTAATTAGTAATCAGACTCAGGAATAGTATCACGATTTTCAAGCTCAAATTTCAACCTAGAAACAGTAAATCGTTGTCATGTGCATCATGTGGTCATGTTATTTGAGTATTATTTGTATCTGTTACGTATGTTCTGCAGCTGAATTCGGGCACAAATAGTACCTATACCATGGAAGCTCTGAAAATCCAACTTTCAACCAAGCTTTCCATCACCACTACCTCATTCAAACGTTTCCGAGTGCCTCTGTTCCTGACGCTACTTGGCAAACTTCTTGTTCCAACAATATACACATCGTGCAGGGTATACATTCTTGGCTCCATTCCAGACGAGACTGTTATTAATGTGATCTCTCAAATGATGTGGGTCACTGTCATCATGGAGATCATAGAGGAGGCCTTGTTGATGCCTCTGTACCACTGTTTTGGAAAGGTTGCTGCAGCAGAGAATGACAGTCAGTTGGTACCGAAAGTTAGAAGTGGGTTCTACGTGTGTCTTCTGTTTTACATCTTGTTTTGCAGTGTCATCGCCATCTTCACACCTCAACTTATCGATGTCATGGGGATTAACCACAAGCTAGGACCAGAGACTGCTAAATATATTAGGCTGGAGTTAGTAGGCGTGTTTCTGAAGGGAATTGTCAAGCTGTATGGTATTGTACTGCTCATCAAAGGGAAAAGTTTGTATCTCAATGCAATACTGTTCGTTCAACTTTTCTGTGCTATTCTCTCCGATACATTCTTCTTTTCGTAAGTAAGATAGCTACAAAAATCATTTCTTAACGTTAAGTTAATCTAGTTTAATAAACAAAATATTTTATTGAGGAAGTGATAATGAAGGAGTTTGAAACCTTGCAGACAGAAGAAACTTATTTTTTGCTCATGTTGATTGACACTAATTAAACTAACTAAAAATTCTAATTCTGTGACAGATTGATTAAAAAGTGTATTTTCAGGAATCTGAGCATCTCCCTAAAGTTGGGATCAGAAGGGGTAGCCTACTCCTCAATAATACAACAGTTTGTTTCCTCACTAGCCACCTTTCTGCTGACCAGCATATCCCTGGAGGTCCCAATAACCCAGCTGTTCACTCTAGAAAGAGGTGATTTTACCTGGCTCAAGCTCTGGACTCGCCAAGGACTCTACTCAGGATTCGAGTCTTTTGTTCGGAACTTTGTGTACCTGCTTGTCGTGCTACGAGGAATGAACTTGCTTCACGAACAAGACGTGTACTGGATTGCTAACAACTTTATCTGGGGCTGGTTGTTACTGCCTGTTCTATCTCTGTCAGAGCTCCTCAGACAAGATGTTGCTACTAACCATCCTACGGAGGGGTTCAAGGTCATCATCCCTGCTTACTGCTGCATTACTGTGGGTATCGTTGTTGTCTGGGGAGTGACTACTCCAGGCTGGTATGGTTTTATAGAGACGGTGCTGAATGCTGGAGACAGAAAACCTGGCGTGATTACCAGACTGGTGTTCCAAATGATGGTGGGGTACTTGTTCTTTATTGTCAGTCATCTCAACAGATCCATCTTCTACGCTAAGGGAAAGGTGAAGTTAAACCTTTTTCTTACCTGATGTTATCATAAATTAAAATAACGATTATATTATATGAAATACTTTAAGTACTAACGGCATACCTTGTAGTTTATCGCGGTTTTCATAAGCTGTAGTCGTAGACTCTATCCAATCATAGATACAGTAATTGCATCTAAAAAGAAAGTAACCAGTACCACTAACTGTAAACACCACTCCCAGATCCAGTATCTGTGTATTTCCTCCTCCACTGCAAGCGTGTTCATGGTATTCCTCTTCGTCCTGGTAATATTCGACATTGTTCCAGCTACCCTTGAAATTACAGCTGGTATCTTCTCAGCTAACATGATCCTGGGTAGCATAGTGTCCATTATTCTTCTCAAATATATGATGTTGACGTTGGATGAAGTCCCCAAACCTGATGAGGAAAGACAGTGATATATTTTAATTGATTTGATTTGAATATGAATGTTTCTTTTTCTATTGCAGAAATGTGCCATATTTTTTAAATGTCAGAATTATCAAGATATCATTTTAAAACTTTTTTAGAGTGAGTTTTTTACACGTTATCTGAAAACTTTTGTGCAAAGATATAAACTTCTTAATAAGAGCCAAATGCACGCATAACGTATAGAAATTTCAATACAAGCAGGTGATGCTACAATACATAATATGAGACTAAACAATCGCAGGTAACACTCCTAATATTCAGTGTGCTCATATAACTAACTATCTTGCAGTTTAATTATGGATAATCTTTAAAACAAAATATTTCTCTCTGGTTAGAAATCTTCCAGATGTTAATGATGTTTATAGTCTGAAATGGATTGTTAACATATTATGTAAGTCAGATTTGGGCTGTTTTAGACTCCTCCCCCACTGTAAGCCACTTTGCAGACAGCCTTAGCATAGAAGTTTCAAAATGGGGACTTGCTAGAAGATAAGTTATAAACATGCTATCTTTGCTCACAATATGCTGTTGCAATGGTATTATGATGTTTTAAAATGTCTGAAGATTCATTCTGGTGAAAAGCAATAGTTATATCATCACAAATATATTCTAGTTAGTTTCTAAAGGATCATTTTTATTCATATTGCAAGTGTTTTATTTTAGATGAGATAAATTGTGATGGAGTGTTGAGAATTAATTCATCCATTTCTTTTATTTAAATTTCTTTGTATCACGGTATGAATGCAACATTTCTCGAAGATCGAATTTACAATAATTTATGTAATTCTTTTGATATTATTATTTATCTAATATTTTGATATCCTAGAATGTCTAAAGATTTAAAACAAGAGATCAAATCAGAACAAGTGGAGATCTCAGATAACTCCAACGGTTTCCTTTGCAAAATGTGCGGAGCACATTTCTTTTCAGAAGACTTCTTTGTTGAGCACATCAAAGAACATAAATCAGTATCAAATTGTTCCATCAAAAAAGAAATAAAATCTGAATCAGATAATCCGTCTGTTTTCATGTGTCCAGTTTGTGCTGAACATGTTTACTCAGACGCTCAGTTAATAGAACATGTTAAACAGCACCATGATCACAGCAGCCAAGAAGTACCTGAAAACCTTGATAATGCAGATAACTTGACGGGACTAGAACCTCAGAAAACGTTAGTTCTGTCTCCTAGTGAGAGTTTGTCAGTGAAACCTTTTAATTGTTCAGAGTGTTCATATGCTGCAGGACAAGCAGGTAATCTCACTCAACATATGAGAATTCACTCTGGAGAGAAACCCTTTAAATGTTCTGTGTGTTTTTTGGCTTTCAGACAAGCAGGTCATCTTACTAGACATATGAGAATTCACTCTGAAGAGAAACCTTTTAAATGTTCTGTGTGTTCATTTGCTGCAAGAGAAGCAGGTAATCTCACTAAACATATAAAGAGAATTCACTCTGGAGAGAAACCCTTTAAATGTTTAGAGTGTTCGTATGCTGCAAGAAGAGCAGGTAATCTCACTAGACATATGAGAATTCACTCTGGAGAGAAACCATTTAAATGTTCAGAGTGTTCATATGCTGTAGGACAAGCAGGTAATCTCACTAAACATATAACGAGAATTCACTCTGGAGAGAAACGCTTTAAATGTTCAGAGTGTTTATATGTTGCAGGACAAGCAGGCAATCTTACTAAACACATGAGAATTCACTCTGGAAAGACACCCTTTAAATGTTCAGAGTGTTCATATGCTACAAGTAGAGCAGGTAATCTTACTAGACATTTGAAAATTCACTCTTGCTAAAAATTATTCAAATATTAGCAGTAACTCAAGATTTCAATACAAGCAGGTGATGCTACAATACATAATATGAGACTAAACAATCGCAGGTAAACCTTCTAATATTCAGTGTGCTCATATTAATATCTTGCAGTTCAAATGGATTTAAGCTTTAAATAAAATATTTCTCTCTGGTTAGAAATCTTCCAGATGTTAATGATGTTTATAGTCTGAAAGGGATTGTTAACATATGTGAGTCAGATTTGGGCTATTTTAGACTCTTCCCCCACTGTAAGCCACTTTGCAGACAGCCTTAGCATAGAAATTTCAAAATGGGGACTTGCTAGAAGATAAGTTATAAAAATGCTATCTTTGCTCATAATATGCTGTTGCAATGGTATTATGATGTTTTAAAATGTCTGAAGATTCATTCTGGTGAAAAGCAATAATTATATCAACACAATTACAAATAGATTGACGGTAGTTTCTAAAGCATTATTTTTATTCATAATTGCAAGTGTTTTATTTTAGATGAGATAATTCGTATTGGTGTGTTGAGAATTAATTCATCCATTTATTTTATTTGAATTTAGTTGTATCAATTTACAATAATTTTTGTAATTTATATGATATTATTATTAATATCTAATATTTTGATATCCTAGAATGTCTAAAGATTTTAAACAAGAGATCAAATCAGAACAAGTGGAGATCTCAGAGAAATACAACAGTTTCCTCTGCCCAATGTGCGGAGCACATTTCTTTTCAGAAGACTTCTTTGTTGAGCACATCAAAGAACATAAATCAGTATCAAATTGTTCCATAAAAGAAGAAATAAAATCTGAATCAGATAAACTATCTGTTTTCATGTGTCCAGTTTGTACTGAACATGTTTACTCAGACGCTCAGTTAATAGAACATGTTAAACAGCACCATGATCACAGCAGCCCAGAAGTACCTGAAATCCTTGATAATGCAGATAACTTGACGGGAGTAGAACCTCAGAAAACGTTAGTTCTGTCTCCTAGTGTGAGTTTGTCAGTGAAACCCTTCAAATGTTCAGAGTGTTCATATGCTACAAGTAGAACTAGTGACCTTACTAGACATATGAGAATTCACTCTGGAGAGAAACCCTTTAAATGTTCTGTGTGTTCATTTGCTACAAGAGAAGTAAGTAATCTTACTAGACATAGACGTAGAGCTAGTGCAATTACCAGTAAACCATTTGTGAAAAATGATTCAAATATTATCAGTATCTCAATATTTCAATACAAGCAGCTGATGCTACAATACATAATATGAGACTAAACAATTGCAGGTAACCCTCTTAATATTCAGTGTGCTCATATTACTATCTTGCAGTTCAAATGGATTTAAGCTTTAAAACAAAATATTTCTCTCTGGTTAGAAATCTTCCAGATGTTAATGATGTTTATAGTCTGAAAGGGATTGTTAACATATTATGTAAGTCAGATTTGGGCTATTTTAGACTCACTGTAAGTGTATAGCCCGTTGTTTTGTAAAAAATATTTCAGTAAAAAATGGAATTAAAGTTTTAACCTTTTTCCATTACATGAACTTTTATTTTTACTGATCAATTATTATAAGGCTGGTATTATTGTTTGACATGAATAACTAAAGATTCCTATCTCGGAACATAAAATTTTAAAAGGTTTTTTTCTCCATCGATACCTCAATGCATTATTTCTCCCTTCGTTCAAGGACAATGGACAATAACACAAGGTGATCCAATGTTTACCGAAGCTTTTTTGTAAATCTGACTTAGCTTAAAAATGATATGTTACAATCGAATCCTAAGATAAGCTGAGAAGTAGATGATCTAGAGACGATGCAGCACTGTGTTCCCAAACATGCAGCTTTGTTGGAGTCACAATATAGAGCTTTGGAAGAGTTTATACTATCAGCCAGGAGATTGTTGGTGTTAACTGGAGCTGGACTCTCCACTGAATCAGGTAGTGTGTTTCTTTACACCATCAGTTGCGTGAATCTTCTCAATTTCTCTTCATCTTCGCTAATTATTTTACTGTTAACAGCTATAGATAGAGAATTTTTGTCGGCAGTATTTTAGGGATTTTAAAATTGTTAAACAAGAAATATGTTACACATAATGTCCGACATGAATATTGGGTGGTGACTCAGTCCATATGATCTCAGGAATACCAGACTACAGGAGCGAGGGAGTGGGACTGTACGATCGAACTAAACACAGACCCATTCAGCATATGGAGTTCATGACAGACTCACAGGCTAGACGTAGGTAACTAACTTACTATCAGTCTTGTTACTTTGCAGTACAGATTTTAAGGGTTGTAGAATGTAGATTTAGGTGCAATTGCGCAAAGAAATTTGTTGCGGACAATGGGTCGAGAACAGATCTGCGTTAGCTTCATTTCTAATTTCACTTTAATATGTTCTGCCTTTTATACTTATCTCTTCGAAATGATATTTGATAATCATTATTCATTGTTTACTTGCTGATTAGACGTTAAGGACTCCTTTATCGATTTTGCTAAATTTAAATATGACTCTTAAAGCGATAGTATATGATAAGGACACTGCATGGCATCACACGCAAACCAGATATGATTACTTTCTGATAACTTTAGCAATGTTGTAATAAATCCAAAGTATATTTTGGATATACTAATCCAGACGAGCGCACACTGTACGTCATCAATAAACAAGTATATATATACATAAAGTAATTATGTGAAACATTTTTCAATCAGGTACTGGGCTAGAAATTACATTGGATTTCCTGTCTTCATTTCCAAAGTTCCTAACACTGCACACAAAATCCTCGCGGAAATGGAAAAATCTCATCAGGTGAGCTGAAATAGATTTACACAAAAGAAAGAAGTCAATAGAAAATATCATAGTTATTATAATGATGGAATACCCAAGTGTTTGAATATGAGATCTTCGAGAAGTTTTATTAGCAGCAACAAATTATTGAATCGGTTACATCTTTAGATTGAAGAACGACCCATGTACATGATTGTCCTATGTTGAATTATTGTCATAAGATCATACACTTGGAAGTCCATAAGTCCATATTTAATCATAATACGTCCCTGTGTTTTTTTCCTTAAGTGGGTATAATTTGATAGTGAACATACCAAACTTCTCCCCTGGTGAAGTTACACAAGATGTTTCCTTGTGTTTGACACGTGACATAACTTCCAACTACAAGATAGACTGGCTGGTGACACAGAACGTGGACAGACTGCACCAGAAAGCGGGAAGTAACAAGGTGACAGAGCTACATGGTACAACAAACATAGTGGCTTGTCAGACTTGTAACTACGTTACTGACAGGGAGTCATTTCAGGTTAGTGCTTATCTGTATCAGTCACTTACAGGTTAGTGGCCAACGTTTCTCTTCCAGGTTCCACTTAAAGGATTGGTCAGCGTTGCGGTTTTAAAGCGATCAGTTTTTATTTTGGATTTTAAAAAGCTTTTTCTTTTTTGAGTACCTATGATCGTTGTGTTCTGTTCGACAAAATATAATATTTTGTCGTGAGTATTGAAATATATAAAATTTCAGAGGTTCATGCACACGTCTAACAAGGAGTTTACAGCAGATATCATTAACGTTACCCCTGATGCAGATGCAGAGATAGATGTGGAACTGATCAAGAAGTTTAATACACCACTTTGTCCAGATTGTGGGTCTGACCTTCTCAAACCACAGGTACAATCAATAAAGTTTTCTTGTTAATAAAATAAGAAATTGATATTTTACAGATGGTTACTTACGGAAGTAACCAAACATTACCCTTTAACTATGTTCTCAGGTAGTGTTTTTTGGTTCAAACGTAGTGAAAGAGAAAGTGGCCCACTGCTACGACAAGTTGCACCGCTGTGATAAGATACTAGTGGCTGGGTCCTCGTTACAAGTCATGTCAGGTTACTGTTCACACGTGTTACATTAATTATTTAATTAAATTAATATAACTCGTTATAAGTTATAACACCCAATAAGTTGTTATTTTCTGAGCGATTTTTGTGTTTAAAAAAATGTAAAATGATATTAACCTTGATATCAACCATGATATCAACCTTGATATCAACCATGAAATCAACCATAATATTTACCATGATATTATCAACAATGATATTAACAACCATGATATCAACCATGATCTGATATCAACCATGATATCAACCTTGATATCAACCTAGATATCAACCTTGATATCAACCTTGATAGCAATCTTGATTTCAACCTTGATATCAACCTTGATATCAACCATGGTATCAACCATAATATTTACCATGATATTATCAACAATGATACTATCAACCATATTTTCATTTTTCAACCATGATAAATAGTCAAGTTTTAAACCGTCTAGTTAAGGATTATCAAGGTAACATTAAGACATTACACTTCTATTAAAGTCATCATTGCACTAATATAACCATAATGAACTATGTCGAATGTTTGTTGTTAACGTTAACTGGCTGTTAAGTAGCAGACCATATATTACAAATTTGTTTACTGATAAATTTTGTTATATATATATGGTCTGCTAAGTAGCAGACCATATATTACAAATTTGTTTACTGATAAATTTTGTTGTATTAATCGACCATATTACTTTAAAAGTGAGGAAGTAAAACTCAAATCTATGTGGAATGCACGGTTTTAGTAATAAATTCTGTCGAGTCTTACGACATCAACACACTACAAATTATAAATAGGTGAAATGTCCAGTATTCAATATAAAAGTCCTTATAAAAGTCTTTAAAAAACTTTTCAAAATATCAAAAGTCCGCAGAGTATTAAAAAGTCTTAAAATTTATAAAAAACCCTAAAACTTTTTTAACGATTTCCAAAAGACCTTTAATAGTTCAAAAAGTCCTAAAAATCCAATATTTTTCGAGATATCTTGTGATGGTGGAAGTTAGTGCTTTATGCGCAGTTGGGTATGTGCTCGTTGTATGCCTGAAATATAGCCGTGTTAGATCAAAAACTCCTTTTAATAAAATCTGCATTTTTCATAATTGAATGGTTGGTTGCGGTAAAAGAAGAGAATGTGAATATTTGCCAACATGCCTGTTCCATGGACAGATGTATATCTGTCCGATTAAAACCCCGCTTTTGGTCTTATACAACCGAAAAGAGCTTAGCGAACAGTTGACTACAACTAACTATAATCTCACATCACAAATTATTGTTCTTCTTCTTTGTATCGGTGAAGAGGAGAAGATCAGATACGGAGGACATAACAGTAACTTGTTTCTGGACGTATACTTAAATGTAAATCACATTGTATTGTATTTCACTATTACTTACATCTGCGATGCAGTCAGCCTGTTCGAGGACGGCATCCCTGTATTCGACAGCCTTGGCGTTGGCAGCGGCGCTCAGTTCATCAGAAACAAGTCCGACCCATTCATTGACCTGGTCTCCGTAGGCTTCAGCTACGTACTTGTAAGCCTGGAAAAAGATCGTAAGGCTCAATTTGGGGTTTTCATCAGACTTTATACTGAATTATTTCCATATAATGGTATGTTCAAGTGAATCTATTGGATTCTATTCTGAAAAAGTTGAATCATTTTTGCACAACATAAAAAAAAAGAAGTTTTTCATTGAACAGAATAAAAATCAATAAAATGTTCCTATCAGGAATTGACTCATCACTCACCGCGATTCCCTTCTGGATGACGTTGTCCATGCAGCAAGGAATGCTGTTTCCAGCTGAGAAGTGAGCGTGTGCGTTGTCATGGCAAGGACCACAGAATTGAGAGGCATCAACGCACTGTCCACTGTGCATTCCTTTGAAGAGAGCCTCAACAAAATCAGCAGACTGTCCGGTACATCCGCTTGAGCACCATTCGTTGGCCATCTTTTTGGCTTCCTTAGCAGCAGCTGCAGCATCACTAGCGACCTTTCCTTTAAGGTCTTTGGAGACGTACTCTTCGATGAAGCTCTTGATGTCTGCGACACTGTCGAACTGTCCAATAGCCTGAGAAGAAAGTATCGTTACATTTAGTTTTCAAAGTTTGATAAGGTTAGATCCACATTCCTAGAGTGTATGGATCTCAGATATCTCAGAAGCAATCCTACATTATCTGCTCAGAATCAAACGATGCAACTTTGAAAAATAGGGGGAAGTGCTAAAGCACAGTTCACTTGAAGAATTACTAACCAGGTTGGCGAGTTCTCCAAAGAGGGTGTTGGAGCTGCTGTCGACGAAGTCCAGGACGGCCTGTTCAGCTTTGATTTCATAAGCCAACTCAGCGGCAGCGACGGTATCTTCGATGAAGTTGGGGTTGTCTTTGATGCATTTCTGAAATGTGTTCATATGTGTCACTTTCTTTCACGACTATTGAATATCCGCACAGTGAGTCCAGTTAACAAAGTTGTCTTAAAATCCAATCTATTACATAGCAACAGATCTATTATAAAAATTAAAAAACAGAACTAAAAATAGCAAATTTAGCTTGATAAGTTGATAGGTCACCTTGAAGGCTTTGGAGACTTGATTGAAGCATGCCTTAGCATGTAAACAGGTGAGTTCTCCGACTTCAGCAATGTTGGGGATGTCTCCGGAGAGGTCTCCGTAGCTGATGACGTCACTGTCTCCGTACCTCTCGGCGGCTCTGAGTCCGTAGCACATGGCTGATGACAGGATGGGATAATGATTAGTAAGGGGTTTTTTCTCATTTAACATATTTTATAGAGACATTTCCGGAAAAAAAGCCTGGTCTGATTCAATTCATCTCATTTACTGATTGACTTGAAAGTTAAGACAAGGTACATAATAATAATAATATGAATGTGACTATAACTTTGATAGCGTACCTTGTGTGGCGAGAGCCTCGCATTTCTTGGAGAAGACGACCTTGTTAATGTTGAAAGAAGGGCATGAGTTTCCGAGGATCAGATTAGCGCCAGATCGTGCAACGCCCTTGATTCCCCTGAGTTTCGCGTCATCTCCATCTTGGCACAGGTCAGCAGCGGCACAAGCAAACAGAGCAAAGAAGAATACAGCCTTCATCATGTCTAAATAGTGTGTGGGTTATTGGTAGGTACTCATTACTCAATATCATGTGTGGTTGAATTGTAAAATAATATATTTGGGAGTCGATTCATATTATACGGACACATTCATTCGAGTTAGAGGATTATTGGTAAATATTAGTGGCCCTATTAAAAGGCACGGTGTAGGTGACTTTGTCACACTATAAAATTTCTTAAACCCTTGATGGTTAGGAAGTTAGGATAATAGGATAATTGTCTCATCCTCTAGGCAAACTTTGTCACACAACGATATCTTAATCAGGTGATAAGATATCGCCTAAATACGGCCGACACGGAAATAGTTACTTTGTCACACTATAAACATACACTATAACGGAGTAAATATGGACCCCTTGCTGCTGTGTTTGACCACATTTTCGAGTGTCCAGTTGATAGGATGGGTACATATTCAACCATTACCTACATATTTGACGACTTTTTTCGTTAAATGGTGCGCCCAGGTTTACTCCGTCAGGTTTACTCCGTCTGTCTGTGCGCGTGTAATTTCTGAGCGGCTTAATCAAGAAAACGGTTTAAGTTATGAGACTGGGATCACCTCTCCGGTAGTAACCAATATCATAGAAACATTAAGGATCACCTCCCCAGTAGTAACCAATATCATATTATAATGAAATGTCTGATTAAACATTAGGGATTGATCACAATTTAGAATGACGTTCGATGGTAAAGTTTGATCTTTAGAGATGATAGTGTGAAGATATTATAATGAAATGTCGGATAACTCAATATACACGGGAAAAAGTGAAATGTTCGAGTAAAATAGTATAAAACGGAAAGTGAAGAACACTGCCAAATAAACTGTACTCCGTCTCCAAACCTGCTCAAGCTGGAATGCTTGTGTTTGAGAACTGATGTTGAGAGGGTCGAGGAGGGGTTTAAATACAGTCACGCACTCAGCCGCACGCGTGTCATTTAGGTACTGCTACTTCCTCCACTCTGTATTCTCCTATTCAGATTCAGATAATGCTATCGGAGTAATGTGATTAGGTATTACTTAATTATTCTATTAAATCATCTGCAGACCTTGCATGAAGAGTAATTAAGTGCGAGTTGTGATAAGTTAATATCTGCTCGGGAGCACTTGTTGTCGTAGGTTCTGTCCGGAACAGTCTCTAAACTTGAATACGTGAAATTCAATAACCCGGTAAAGAGGTGCGTTGGGTCTTGTCTTTTCCAGAATTTCCACAGCTGGTAGTTTTAATTTTAAAGTGACCGGTTATCTGAGTCATGTTTTTATCTTTTCGTTAGAGTCCGGAGCTGCAGGTTCAAATTGAAAATAGCCGGGATGCACCCACGTTTTCATGATAAGTAAAACTTTAAAATGAAAATACCCGGATATTTGAAATGAAGAATATTATGCCATGGTTTACAACATCATTCTAGTTAACAAATTATTTTGTCTTGGTTTAAATGAATATTAGGGGTCGTTTACATATTACGTAATTTTAGCTGAGGGGGGTTGGGGGTTTCCAAATGCTTACGGCTGATTACGGGGGTGGGGGGGGGGGGGGGGGGGGGGGAAGGGGATACGTTAGGGACCCCAGATACTCCGTATTTTTGAGAGAGTATTCCGGAGAATTCATTAAAAGTGGTCCTGAGATGACAAGACTGAGTTTATCCGGCTAAAACCCAATTTTCGGTCCGAAAATAGTCCAAAAAACCATGTTTTAAAATTTTTTAGCAAGTTAATTTCGTTGGCATATCAGAAAAATTTCCAAAAAAGTGTATTAGAAATAGCTTCACACGATAGTATCAATATTGTGCTAATTATATTTCAGAATGGCGATATAGGATTATCGAGATACAGTGTATGTAGATAAACAGTGTGATTATCATCTATGACAGAATTCAGATATCACCAATTAAATTTAGTTCCTTTATTATTATCCTGTTCTGCTCAAGTAAATAGTCCATATTATAAATGTGAGATTAAGGTAGTATATTAGGATTCAGTGAAACTACCGGACTACGATGAATGGGGATTTGCCACCCCATGGCAACATTAAAATAGATTGACTCTGTTATATGAAGGTCATGTCACTCTCAGCTCTCTCTCTATTAGTAATACCCTTCATTGGATCCACCTCAAACCTCATGCCTTAAAAATAATCTATTTTGCCTTTAATATAATCTATTTTAATCTACTAAGAAGACTGATAGTCTTCTTAGTTTGCATTCGAAGTATACTCCGCAAAGAAGAGTTGCACAGCCAGCAATTAAAATTGTATCGGCCGCTGCATAGTTTTCTGTCCCCAACCTTATTATTTATTGTCTTTAAGTGTCTCGGCTTTAATAGCTATCACGTGACAGGGAAAATACCGTTCAACTTCATCAGTTTTACTTAATTAATTACTGGATGATATAAATAATAATGTGTTATCTCTCCAGGTTACAGGTTCCTGTTGGAAGCAAACAGAACGCAAAAACCTATAGCAGTTTTGAACATTGGGGAAACTAGAGGTGATCATCTGGCCAATGTCAAGGTCACGGCACGATGCGGAGAATTCTTCGAGCGGTACAAGACGCTTAACTTGTAACAAAGTGTGATGTTTTGTCACGTGGTGTGAGTTCATGTCACATGGTGTGAAGTAATGTCATGTGGTATGACGTCATGTCACGTCACGTGATGTTAGATCATTATATGTAGTGAGACTTCATATAAAGATGAAGACTTACGTTTGTGAGATTCTAGTCAGAAGAAAGAAGTTGACACTGTCAAAATTCGAAAGTGACCCTCTATACGATGACGATTATTTAGAAAGTTTTGTTTAGATTATGATTGTTTCGAGTATTTTTTGTTTAGAGGTTTTATAATTATTTATATATCGTACTTTGTTATAATATTAAGATGATGCTATCAGTGACCAACTTGATGTGACCATTAATGTGTCATATTGCATCAATAATTTATGTAAGCTTTTGTATTATTTGCCCATTGTGCTATTAATGAAAACTTACAGCCTGTTTGACCAATGTAATGACCACTAATTGGTTTTATACCAATACTGTAGTAGTCCACTCAATTACTATACATGTATAGGTAGACTCTACTCAATGTCACCAAAAATTGGTGATCTATGCTAGCTTAGACTGTTGTTGGTTCATCAGCCAGGCCCAACGTCATTTTCTTACCTCAAGAAAATTGACGGTAAAATACTTCAAAGAGAAATACTTCAAATAGGCTTACAGAAAATAAAACAAATATTTAATAAAACAAATATTTATTTTTACGGCACAATCAAACAATATATAAGAACATCTATAAACAAAAGAGCACCTAAAGAGGATCAGCAAAGTGCTGGCCTATTTACGCTTACGAAGACTCATTCGTTCAATATGTCTCAAAGTAAATAAACTCCTCCATCCTACTCTATCTCTTGCTAAGTTCACTAAGTTAATCAAACAATATGAATAATAAATAAATCAGGGGAGGTTTGAAGAGGTTTGAAGTGCCGAAGGCCACTGCTTATCTTTGGATTTGAGAGTGACCTGTACTTGAAACCCCTTCAACCATCCACTACGTCAATATACTTATTATACAAATGTAGAAAAATATAATAATCTAAAATTGGTTATTTGTCTAGTTTGGTGCCACAGGAGAGCCCAGTTGAGTTTTAGTTAAGGTTGAAATTTTTAAAATCATAGTTTAAAAGGTTAGCCATGTTACATGGCAGAGAGAGATATCATCAGTGCAGAGCCGTACTGGATGTAGGATTTAACTTACCAGTTTAGCTCTATCTAGTCCCCTTCTACACGGCATGTAAACAGGGATTGGCTGGTTAGAGGCGGTCCGTGTAGGCCTTACACTGTGCTTTCAGCAATACTCATAGTATAGATTAGTTACCATGTATTAGGATCATCTCGATTTTGGAGGGATAGCAAGTGCTTTTTAAGGTTGGATTTAATAATACCTGACGAGGCTGATAAGTCTGAATTTTTGGAAGAACCCGGGATTATTATCCCATCTTCATTAGCATCACATATTTCGAATACATAGGGGATGAGATCATTCCAAATTTTCGTAGAGGTGTACAAAAATTTCTGTTGGGAGATATCTAACCTCAGTAATGGGACGATCAGACGAAGTTTTTCATTTCTAGGACAGAACTTGAAAAGATCCTTAATCGACTAGGGGACATCAAATTTAAGAATTTTAAATAGCTCCATAAATGTATGATACATGTGCAGATTCTCCAGGTTCATAATTTTCTGCTCAGTAAACAGCGGTTTAGTGTGTCCAAGACAGTAGTTCTTGCTAGCCATATGTTCATTATAAGTTCTTGAACGTGCACAGGTTAAGTAGTATTCTTTATGATCAAAATTTGGAATGTTACCAAACAGCAGTCTTATACAGTTATACATCGCGTTTGGCCTTTCAAATTGCAACAATTTTCCTGACGAAAAAGTGGGAGCTTTAGCTACTTAAATAGTAAGCACAATTTGTTTCTTTTAAATACGTGTTATGAGGTGATTAGGTTGGCACTATATCCGCATTATGGCTTTGTAAATGAATGCCTACCTTAGATACCTCCCAGAGTAATGTTGATGGAGACTTGTCTGCACAATGTCGGATAGAATTACAAATTATATCTTTTCCGTTATGAGCCTCCGTATAGAAATCTCAAATCAACCCTACCAGAAATAATTATTTGTGAATTGTTGTCGGCCCTGTAATTGTCATCACCACTATACTTTTCGTATGAAACATCGTACCAGGGAGGATTCTCTCCCCCGTACATTTGGAGGGTTTCATTTTCACCTAAATCTTTTCCGACTATTTTGCAAGATATACGGCTACTTTGTGTCAACGGTGCTTTAGCCGTGCGTTAAGTGTACGTTAACTGTGCGTTAAATGTCTATTGCGATTCGATAATCTGTCGATGGTCACATAACGCACGGTTAAGGCACACTTAACGGACACTTAAGTACTGCGCTCCCTTGAAGTACCCTGACTGCTTTTAGTTTCACTAGTCCTGCACCCGGATCAGCATTGTCTCTATTCGAGTTCGAAGTAAGTATCCTGTACAACCGAAGCATCTCCTTCGCTGCATTCCTCGGCTCTTCTGGATCTTCTACAACGGATCGAGTGTGTCGGATGCTACTAGGATACTTCGAGCTCGAATAGAGAGACAATGCTATCTCTATTCCGATAAGTGTGCCTTAACCGTGCCTTAACCATGAGTTAAGTGACCATCGATAGATTACCGAATTGCCCAGCAATCCTCGGTGAGATGAGTTGATCATCTGGAGGATGTAGGAGGAAGTACACAAACTTATTTATACTAAATTGCTCCCCCCGCAATACTGTTTTTATCTTATTTAAAAAACACTCCAAACTATTATTTTTTTTACTGTCACTCTGATGTATGCTGAGACACAATTTTAATTTCACTAACAATTAGTAACTTGTTAGAATGGAAAACTACCACATTCTTGGCCGGATTGGTGAAGGAGCACACGGTATAGTGTACAAAGCTAAACGTATTCAAAGTGGGGATCTGGTGGCATTGAAGAAAGTTCCTCTCAGAAATTTGGAGGATGGTTTTCCTACGGAGGTGAGATCAACTTTTTTTATTGGATCCAGCTTAACTATTATATATCGGTTATTAAAAAGATAGTTTTTGTAAGTGTTCTTTAACTTCTTTCGCTTCCAAAATTGTCCGTGTTTTGGAAGCGAATAGGTAGGTACACTTTGGTGCAACTCATTTAGGACAATTCACAGAACGGTCTTCTGGAAACATGGTCAGGAACGCGCACATCAAAATTTGGTGTGTTTAGAGCGCACACGTCGCGCGTACCAAATCCGTTATAATTTGATTTCAAGTTCAACACTGGTGCATACAAACTTGACTGGCATTATAACGCGATGCCGTTAAAACCAACTTATATAATATATAACAATTTAACTTTTTGATCTACGAATATAACCCATTAATCACTCCTCACGAAATGTTCTCGTTCAGGTTTTGAGGGAGATCAAGGCGCTCCAGCACATTGACTTTCATCCAAATATCGTGAAGTTACGAGAAATATTTCCCCACGGCACAGGATTCGTACTTGTATTCGAGTATATGTTATCAGGTGAACAAAAGTTTGCTTGTGACCTCATTCTATTTAATCTTAACAACTCAGTGGCGAGATGTACCATTTCACTAGCTCATGTCTTGAGATTTTTTAATTTGGACCGATTTCGGAGAATCATGCTTAAAGAGCCTAATTGATAAATTGATGGTACATAATTTGATCTGATGGCTTAAACATAGTACGTATCAGCTGTTGGATTTTATACGGATTCTAGTTTGAGGGATAAAATGGTGTCGGTTGGTATGGCAGAGAATACTGATAGGAGCTGCTGCAGCTCAAAATTAAATCCTTTTTGAGACCTACGAAGTCCATCTCATACACGAAAGCTTATGTATCTACCCCTCAGATTTATCAGAAGTAATCAGAAATTCGGCGTATCGACTGACAGCCGGACAGATCAAAAGTTACATGTTGATGTTACTGAAAGGGATCAGCTTTTGTCACTCAAACAATATTATCCATCGGGATCTGAAACCTGCCAACCTTCTTATCAGCTCCACTGGTAAGCTATTTTCAAACTTGCAGGAGGTGAGGTATAAAACGAATATTAGAGTGCTGAAAAACAAGTCGCTGTATCCCCTTACAATCTAGCCTGTCGGTATCTTTCCAAAAGCAAATTAGTTACTGAAGTTTTTGATTGCAGTAAGTTTGCCCTTTTTGTATCATAAGTTTCCATTCAGCTAAACTCAGTTTTTCGTTAATCGCTCGAAAAGTCAGGTTGCAGGTAGAGTTCTGCAGTATGATTAAAGTCTCTACCAGTTTCAGAAAACATCGAAACATTGGGAAACCCTTGAACCCTGTCAATATGTAAATATTCGAATGCGTGATCTCGGCACATAATCAGTGATTTCGTCACCCAATCAGTAATATCATCGGGAGCTATTCGCTAGCGAGCAACAATGAGCCTCATTAGGCGGTAACGAGCATGTTGGTGGATGACGATCTGATCACTTTGAAGAATACTGATAGTGTGACGTTCCTTAAAAGTTAAAACCGAATAAATTCGCGTTATAGCGCTTCGGTTGCTGTCCTATAAGCAGTCTTCAACAAATCAGGGCATTGATTGAGTGACGATATCACTGATTAAGTGCTGGATCACGTATCTGCAAGATCTTAAAAGGGTCATAACTCGGTTAAATTGTAAACAACCAACTTGAAATTTTGGGAAAGCACTTCAATTATCAAACCAAATGTGTCTAGAAACTTCATAGCTGAAAGCGTTCTTACTTCATAGTGACAATAATGAAAAAGAGGGAGTGGCGTGCCACACCCACTGTAATTAATTAAATTTGACGAAACTTTCAGAAAATTTAAGTTTGACCCATATCTATAATCTCTGCAATTTCTGTGCAATTCTAAGAAGAATTACGTGAGTTATTAAAGGGTTGCCTGTGGGCTGTTACTTCTGGGCCACCATGTATACTGTATAGTGTATTGTATGGGTATATAGTCCGACAGTAAATTTGTGCGATTTTCTTACAGAAGGAAGTGCGATTCGAGGTATATTTTTCATATTGAATTTGAGTTAGTTTTAATGTCAAAACATGATTTGGAGAAGTTATATTCTTGTTAGGGTTACCTAATCGCAACACCAGGGTGTCGTATCGCATAATTTGATAAATATGGAATAATGATTGATAATTTAATCATTTTAACCCGGTTTGTCTTATTTTCAAAACAGATGCAACGATAAGTAAACCAATTATTACTATAATATTATGTAAAAATTGGATTTCAAACATTTTCGCAAAGACTAGTATAAGTAATTTTGAATGGACGTGGTCTAAAACAATAGAATTTCCGAATTTTAAAGACGGGATCCTACCTCAAATGAGTAGTTGCACTTTGAAGTACATCTGCCAAGTGACAAGTCTCAAACATGAATGACAGTTATTTTATAACCCCAGCCGTTGGCATTTTGCACACTGACTTTTGTTAATCTCTCTCTCTCTCTCTCTTTGATTCGTCTCCATCCAATTTAATCATACAACCCATAGATGTGGATTCTCGTGGGGAGGTGAGGTATATTCGTTTACTTTAATAGTAAGTACCTGTTCAGCAGGAGAAAGAGGTGATGCACATTTTGTATTATGGAACACTTGTAACGCCTGTAACTCCTTCTTGTTACCCCCTTTGAAGGTCCCGAATTATTTTCTGAACGGAAGCTTAAAAATAACCGAGAAATGGACCTTGTTATTAACTCATTTTAATGACTGTTCCTAACCTAAAATTGCACTAGAAATCGAATTAACTAGGTTTCAGAACATAATCGCGACCATAATCGCGACCACATATTACAGCAAAGGGCAACTGCAAATTCTTAATAATACTCATCTCCGCAGTTCAACCGACATATTATTACTAAACAAGGTTAATTTTCTGTTCATGTTTGGACGGTAAGCACCACTGTCAGTTTGAGGAGCAATCTAAACACTGTCAACGATCGGTTGCCTATCTTAAACCCCCCACCCCAACAGTTCGTATTGTACGTGGGCACGGTTATTCGATCACACTATTTCTAGTTTATGACTTAATCATGGCGTCTGTACGGTGCAGATAGCACTTTGAAATTGCCGAGCCAAGATGTGGTAACGATATCCTGTTCGTGATTGGACGGATCGGCGTCACTTGACATAACACCTCTATTACAATTGGTCGCTCAGTCAGGATCACGAAGCACATGGCTGCCCGTCGTTCAGAATACATGTAATTCAGATGTTATTATGATTGTTATGTGGTGTTGGTTACCTACCTTCATTGTGTTTCTTTTGACTTTGCTATCGTGCTCTGCTCTGAAAATTGTGATAGTTCCTGTTCGATTTTGTAAGGAGACTATCTCCTTGTTCTTCTGTTGCAGGATCAAAATGTTCTTCGTTTGAGTAAAACATGAATTGAGAGGGATAGAGGAAGTGTTGTTGGGCTGTTAAACCAACTTAAATCGATTTCTTGTGCAATGATATATTAGGTGAGGAACAGTCACCAAAATGAGTTGCTTGCCTGCTGTGTGTTTTCGTACTCCGAATGATCAAAATATATGTTGATTGTTGCTCGTATTAACTATAAAACATCAATGTTGATATGAGGGATAAGGAAGTGTTTATAGGTTCTGAAACCTAGTTAAATCTATTTCTCTTGAAATTTTAGGTCAGAAACAGTCATCAAAATGAGTTAATAACAAAGTCCATTTCTCGGTTATTTTATAGCTTTCGTTCAGAAAATAATTCGGGACCTTCAAAGGGGGGTAACAAGAAGGAGTTACAAGCGTTCCATAATACAAAATGTGCATCACCTCTTTTTCCTGCTGAACAGAATCTAGACTGTGCAGTTAATCACTGATCCATTTTTAATACTACAGTCCGCTGCAATGGTACGACCTGGCCAACTTGGTGTTTGATCGCAAATTTCTAAGAAAACCAAATAAAACCCAGCGGCCAGCTATCTCCTTCAAATAGTTAGGTGGTCTCGGAGCGTACACACAATATGATATTATATCGTTGTTCCCTGCTGGTGGGTGTTGTTGAATTGAATTGAAAAGTGGCAAGCCAGGAGGGTGCGACCACAAATAACCATAGAAATAGAATTGGATGAGGGGGCTGCATGGGGGGGGGGGGGGGGGGGGGGCTGCATACTCTGGGGGTATAGGTCTGTGCTATCCTCTAAAGAACTGTAAACAGAAGCTGGACTGCCTTTATGAGTTTATATGCGTCCACGGCATTTGGAGATAGATAGAGGCGTGGTGACTACCACAAGCATAAAGCACTGCGATCCATTACACTAAAGCTTTACTACCCAGAAAGACCTACTATAGGTGTGGGCCGTTGCACATGTTACCCGAGAGAGATCCGAGGCTGACTGCTGGTGTGCCCATTGCCCAATAATAATATGATGCTTGTAATTGATGTGCACTGGACTTGTATTTGGTAATAGTAGTGTCCTAACTGTTTTTTTTGTGGGATTTATGATCCTTTTATGTTATTACTGTATTTCGTTTGCTGTCTTGGTGTTTGGCCCGCTTGAAATTTGGGCATAGCTCCCGCGGGGACCCTGTAGGCTAATTTATTGGAATATCATGTCTTGTTTGGTGTGAATTAATAATTTTATTGCTTATTGTATATTTTTCCACCCGTCATGATATGGAGTGTTTCAGTGTACGGTTGAGAGGCAGTCCCCTTTCCCTCCTTGTTCAGGAAGAACTGAGATCTGCTGCACCCTGACCCCATAGCACTGTAAATCTCTACTTGCTTTGTATGGTTTATACTTTGTTGGACGCTAAGGTTACCGTCCGATTGTTTTTTGTTTGTTAGTGGGCACCCACTCTACCTCAATACCTAAGTAAGAAGGCTACATTCACCTACTGGGCTGACGTCTTATGGGGTCCCTCTGGTGGAGGGATCGAGTTTGTAGAGAATTAAGTCTGCTATATTGCGTTAGTACTTTAGTAACTGTGTAACAATCACACACTGACACTTGAGTTTCCAGTCTCAAGTTCTACAGGTGTATAATACATTAGTAATTCGTACCACTCCATTTTAGTGCGATATGTACAACTATCTAACTCGTTCCTTATATCGTTGCAATAATCAAAAGCACTCGTCGATCTCGCTCGTTATGTTATTGAACTTGTATCAGCAAAGGTGATGTTAGTTAAATAATCGCACTACAAGGTAGAGACATTATCGATATATAATGAGTCAACTTTTGATCACACTAATTAAATGTCTACATCTGTATTTCTCACGAAACAGGTGACTTGTTCTCGAATTAATACCTTAAAGTGTTTGTGGACACCTGTCCCTAGTTTCTATAAGGTCCACTAAGGTAATATATAATAGTATAATACAGAATACACATGGTTATAATATAATATGTATAGGAGCGAGTTAGTACATTAAATGGCTGTTGTTCATGTTGTTTGCTAACGTGGAGATTTTACACTATATTTTGATTATATAAACAGTAGTTGATTTTGTTGACATTATTAGAAGTAGCGCCTTATATCTTTATATTGAATTTTTTGTTGTTGTTATTAATATTTTCGTCTCCATTAGTGGCACTTTTATTACCGCTGGAACTGAGCGCTTGTAATTTTTTGACGATCGGCATACTTTATCATGTTAACCGTCATACTTTGCAAGTACTTGTGCTTCGTGCTGCAATCCGATTGGCGACATCTGTCCGACAACGACATCTGTCCGACTCAGAAAATTGGTTATACGGACAATAGTTTATGTCGGATCCTACCGTGCGATTTTCTTGAAACTTTCCATAAAGTATGATGGTTATAGGACGGATAATCTGTGTAAGTTTGAGCCAGTTTCTATGTGCCAAATTTGAGATATCACCTTAAACACAAAAAATATCTCCAATTCGGTGGTTTGCAGTGGTTCCAAGGCATATATCTGGAGATCCAACGATACGATTTTCTTGAAACTTTCTAGATAGTTAGATAGCTTTAAGACAAATAATTTGTGCAAGTTTGGGTGAATTTCTATGTGCCAAATT